GAGCAGAGAGGGCAGGGTCTGTCTGATGCTGAGGGCACCTGACCTCTGCACGATGTGCTGGGGCAGCAGTGGCCTGTGGCCTGGCCACTTCGTGCTTGCCGCGGGGCTCCAGGATGATAATGCTATAGTATGAAGGAGTTCTGGGAGCCCATGGTGGGCACCAGCTGGACCTTTCAGCAAATCAACGGGTATCTCGAACAGCCCATCAGGAATCATCAGACTGGAGGGTCAATTTTCCAGCATGAAATGCTCTGAGTAAAGAGTCTGAGATTGTTCATTGAACTTATGCAAGGAGTTTGCTAGGGGAGAAGGCAGTGAGGGAGTCGGAGAGGCATGCTAGAAACATGGAGAAGCAAAGTTCGAGAAAGGGAGACCAGCGATCAGAGAAGCTACGACACATTTAAGGCTGTGACATCCCACACCTTGAGAATGCTGCAAAGAGCACTCCCTCCCATACTCCCTTTCCCTTCCCAGGCAAGAACATTTCATTCTTCTTGTTTCCCTTTGTTGGGATACCATGAGGAAGTATAGAGGTACAGCTGACCTCCTTAGGAAGAAGGGCAGTACAGACATAGGGCCTGTCCTCTTCCATCTCAGGAAATGCTAGGTCTCACTATGACAGGGACAAGTCAACCTCAGGGGTCTTGTGGATCAGCGCTCCTCCCTTCATTTTCCACGCTCTTATCTGATGTCACAGCAGTCCTGGGAGGCAGCTGAGGAAATCCAGGCCCAGCGAGGTGTGTGCTTTCCCTAGTGGCTGAATTAGCCTGGAAATCAGCCTCAATCTGCTCTGCCCTCCACAGTGATGTATCCAGTAATGAGAAATCAACCAAGGAACAATAACTGCACACCAATGTCTAAGAAGTCTTGGTCCAGAGGCTGAAGAACTGCATGATTTTTTAAAGCTTTCTATTTCTTTGAGATAACATTTTAATTTACATTATACCCAAAGGCTCCATGGCTGCACTAAATAAAGAGTTCAACAAATAAAAATAAAAAGACCATAGTGCAACAGGAAAATAGGCAAAGGCTATAAACAAAAATTCAATGAAAACATATAATCTCATTCATATAATTTTTTAAAAGATTTATTTATTTACTTGAAAGGCAGAGTTACAGAGAGGCAGAGAAAGACTGGTCTTCCATCTGCTGGTTTACTCCCCAAATGGCCATAACAGCCAGAGCAGGCTAATCCAAAGCCAAGAGCCAGGAGCTTCTTCTGGGTTTCCCATGTGGGTGCAGGGGCCAAAGGACTTGGGTCATCTTCTACTGCCTTCCCAGGCCACAGCAGAGAGCTGGATCAGAAGAGGAGGCGCCGGGACTCAAACCAGCACACATATGAGATGCTGCACTGCAGGTGCCAGCCAACACTCATATAATTTTAAAAGTCCCACAATTATGAAAACTAGTAGGATATAATTCCTATCAATTTGTATAACAAAGATTTAATTGCTGCACAGTTAAGCCACAGTGTTATCTTTACATGTAAAGACATTACATTATGGCTGCAGCTTTCTCCTGGGAAGTCAATTACTGTAATAATTTTTAATAGCAATAACTGTAAGTTATTAATGGTAAATGTATCTGTTTGGAGCAGGGCATATATGCAGGTACTTTGAAAAATTCATGGAACTGTGTATTATGAAAAAAACTATGCATGGATTTCAAAATTCTTTTTGCACAAAAATAAACTTATCTTAACTTATCTTTTAATTCCATTGGTCTTGAACTCTTTGAAGTAATCTCACACATGGGCCCAAGTGAAGGCCTGATGGCTTCTGAAATCATAAAGGACCATTTCTCATGAGCGATCCATAGGGAGCAGAATGCCTGAGTGAGGGATGGTAAACTTACATCACTGCTAGTACCGTGGCTGGAATTCTCTATGTTTGCAGGGAAGTTATTAAACTTATACAGTATATGGTATCTTACTGTATACTCAGCAGCAACTTTGACAAGGAATAAGAACTGAGTGTGGGGCCAGTGTTGTGGCTTGGCAGGTAAAGCCATCACCTGTGACACTGACATCCCATACGGTGCCAGTTCACGTCCTGGCTGCTGCACTTCTGATCCAGCTCCTTGCTATTGGCCTGGGAAAAGCAGCAGGTGATGACCCAAGTACCTGAGGCCTTGACACCCACATTGGAGGCCTAGTTGAAGCTCCTGGCTCCTGACTTTGGCCTGGCCTAACCCTGGCCTTTGCAGCCATCTGGGGGTAAACCAGTGGATGGAAGATCTCTGTCTCTCCTACTCTCTCTGTAACCTTTCAAAATAAATAAATAAATCTTAAAAAAAAAAAAAGAACTGAATGCTGTCATTGTACTGCCAAGGCAAAGAACCAAAGGCCAGGAAGTCAGCCAGGATGAATCATGAGATTTACCCCAGCCCTGGGGGTAGATTGCAAGCACCCAGGAGTATTGGGCAACCTGGGTGGTGTGGGAGAGAGATTTCAGGAGAAAGGGCGGGGTGTGTTAAAACTCACTAGGACAGGGAAACCAATGAAGTAAAAAAAAGTAAAAGCATTAGCAACCTTTTTGGGATATTACCTTGACTATTACCTTGAATTCTTCCAAAAACTTTCAATAGCCTGATGGAGGAATTGCAGCTCATAGGAGAGGAGTTGTGCAAATCTCCCTGCAAGGTTATACTTGTCCTTGAGATACTGCACCAGCACCCTCCTCTGTGATCGTATCTACTCACTACAGAGCATTTGGATAATAATCCACACAGAGTTCGGCAGGCATCTGTGCTAGGGGACTCCAGCAAGAAAGGCACTGACGTCCAATAGTCAGTCTAGAAGGCAAGGCTCCAAAGTGCAAGGGCACCATATCCCCTGTACCAGTCACCCTGGCCTCAAAGCTCAGGTCGTACTGGGTTTTAGAAATGAGGTCAATACTAACAATGATGAGCTTAAGTATAAGGATTTAACTTCACAAGATTAGAGCCATTTTGGACATAACTGCCATCTTGTGTTTTAGGTAACCCTGAGAGTCATACCAAACCTGATGGGATAAGCCAAGTCATAAAGATAACCTGCAGGGGGACAGGGGGACACAGACATTGGTAGTGACCAAGACTGCTCCAGCTCACAGAGCAAATTCGTTAGATGAGATAGACAGAGACTTCCAGACCCAGGACAGGCAGGACGTGCGCTATGCTCCTCATAAGCAGGAAGCAGCTATAGAAGATATGATGATCCTATGCCCTTCAACATCATTTAGGGTTAAGGGAATGGGGGCTGGTGTTGTGGCGTAGCAGGTAAAGCCACCGCCTGCAGTGCCGGCATCCCATATGGGTGCCGGTTCGAGTCCTGGCTGCTCTACTTCCAATCCAACTCTCTGGTATGGCCTAGGAAAGCAGCAGAAGATGGCCCAAGTCCTTGGGCCCCTGCCAACACACAGGAGTCCTGAAAGAACCTCCTGGGTCCTGGCTTCGGATCAGCATAGCTCTGGCTATTGCAGCCAATTGAAGAGTGAACCAGCGGATGGAAGACCTCTCTCTCTGCCTCTCCTTCCCTCTCTGTGTTACTCTTTCAAATAAATAAACTAATCTTAAAAAAAAAAAGGATTAAGGGAATGGAGTCTCTGAGGGGGGAATGTTGTAGGCAGGCACACAGGATAAAATTGATCAGCTTTGTGAGCTGGAAGACCACACCTTCACCATTCCCCTGTGTGATCTCATGCCCCTACCTAACCACACCTGTGTGCCCACTGGCCAACCAGACTAATTAACCACTCCCCTTTGGAAGTGGATTAAAGGCCTGAAACACAGTGGGCCTGGCCCTTTTTTCCTTTTGTCCTGGACCTGCTGGTTGCCCCTGTGCCTCTGGGGCACGTGGCCTTCGGGCCACCCACTCCATTCTTCCTGCCTGCATTCTCCTCCACGTGACGTGCTCCTGGTACACGGTATGAATCCAGATTTATCTCTCTTTTAGATAAGGCCCTCACTCTCCTATGTATTTCTTTAGCTGAATAAAAAGCTTAAAACTTATATATAACAAAAGATAATCTGCTGGTGTTGTCTGGCTGGGCCAGATGTTCCTTATTTAACTCGAAATATTTGCAGTTCCTTGCTCCTGGCTTCCACTTGGCTCAGATCAGGCTATTGTGGTCATTCTGGGGAGTGAACTAGCAGAAGGAAATGTCCTGGCTCCAGCTCTGTCTCCCTCTCCCTCTGTTGCTCTTTCAAGTAAATAAATTAATATATATATTTTTAAAAAAATCTTTAGGGCCGGCGCCGTGGCTCACTAGGCTAATCCTCTGCCTGTGGCACCGGCACCCCAGGTTCTAGTCACAGTGGGGGCACTGGTTCTGTCCCTGTTGCTCCTCTTCCAGTCCAGCTCTCTGCTGTGGGGGCCCGGGAGGGGAGTGGAGGATGGCCCAGGTCCTTGGGCCCTGCACCTGCATGGGAGACCAGGAGGAAACACCTGGCTCCTGGCTTTGGATTGGCGCAGCGTGCCGGCCGCAACGCGCTCGCCGTAGCGGCCACTTGGGGAGTAAACCAATGGAAAAAGGAAGACCTTTCTCTGTGTCTCTCTTTCACTGTCTAACTCTGCCTGCCAAAAAAAAAATCTTTAGGCCGGCACCGCAGCTCAATAGGCTAATCCTCCGCCTGCGGCACCGGCACACCAGATTCTAGTCCCTGTCGGGGTCCCGGTTGTCCCTCTTCCAGTCCAGCTCTCTGCTCTGGCCCAGGAGTGCAGTGGAGGATGGCCCAAGTGCTTGGGCCCTGCACCCCATGGTAGACCAGGAGGAAATGCCTGGCTCCTGGCTTCAGATCAATGCAGTGTGCTGGCTGCAGCACGCCGGCCGCAGCGGCCATTGGAGGGTGAACCAACGGTAAAGGAAGACCTTTCTCCCTGTCTCTCTCTCTCTCTCACTGTCCACTCTGCCTGTCCAAAAAAAAAAAAAAAAAAAAAAATCTTTAAACTGGTGTAATTTTGTCCTTTGTAAGTATTGATTCTCAGGGGTCTGTCCTAACCCATTTTCTTTTTTACTCTTTTTTTTTAATAAAAAATAAAAAGGATTTGTTTATTTATTTGAAAGTCAGAGAGAGAGGTTCCAACTGCTGGTTCACACCCTAGATGGCCACAAAGGCCAAAGCTGAGCCAGGCTGAAGCCAGAAGCCAGGAGCTTCATCTGGGTCTCCCACATGGGTGGTAGGGGCCCAAGCACTTGGGTCATCTTCCGCTGCTTTCACGAGCCATTAGCAGAAAGCTAAATCAGAAGCGGAGCAGCTGGGACAAGAACTGGCACTGGTATATGTTGCAGACAGCGGCTTTACATATTTTGCCATGACACCAATCCCTCTTTTTTACTCTTAACATGAAATCCACTGACTTTCAGTAAGTCCTTAAGTGGATTTGGGCAACAGAGTCCCTCACTCCCTGAAATGGTCCTGGGCACAATACAACAAATAGACACGGAATTTCATCTTTAAATAGCACTGCTCTGTATTAAGTACAAACCACCTTGTTCCAACCCTTGGTTTTAACCTCTCCTCTGTGCAGATAAACCCCAGATCCATTCCCCAACACTATCCTGAGGTCCAGATTGCTATAGCCAACTAATTTCTGGAAATACAGGTACCACACATTTTAACACATTCAAAAATCAACACAGCACCCTTCCCCCATATCTGTTCCTCTTCCTGTGCTTCCTGTTTCAGTGAATTTCAACTATGCACCCAGTTACCCAACTCAGAAAACTGCAAATTAGGGCAGGCACTATGTTGCAGGGAGACCTAGATGGAGCTCCAGGCTCCTGGATTCAGATTGGCTAAGCCCTGGCTGTCACAGGCATTTGGGGAGTGAACCAGCAGATGGCAGGCCCATATTCTCATTCTCTCTCTCTCTCTCTCTCTCTCTCTCTCTCTCTCTCTCATAATAAACATTTTAAAGTAAGAAAACTAGAAATCATACTTAATTCCTCCCATTCCCACTCTTATACTCCCAAAATCTAATAAATGAACATATTCAGGGCAGGCATTGCCTCTTGGAACGGGCACCTGCATCTCACATCAGAGTGCCAGTTCATATCCCAGCTGCTCTGCTTCTGATCCAGCTCCCTGCTAAGAGAGTCCAAGTGCCTGGGCCCCAGTTACCGATGTGGGAGACCCAGATGGAGTTTCTGGCTCCTGGCTTTGGCCTTGCCCAGCCCCAGCTGTTGCAGACATCTGGGGGAGTAAATCAAAGATGGAAGATCTCTCTCTTTCTCTCCCCACCTTCCACCATCAATCTTTCAAGTAAATAAATAAATCTTAAAAAATAAACAACTTGCCACATCTTACTGATGCCACAGTCTAAGCACAGTCTAGTGCTTCTTTTCCACCTAGTGCCTCTTTCTTAACACAACGGTGGCAAGCATTAGAGGTGTAGAACACAGCTCCTGGAGCGGGACTGCTTGGGTGTGCCTTCTGGGTCTGCTCATCTTCAGTATGAGCAACACAGTAGTGCCTTAATTTTTGTGTGTGAATAGCACCTGCATAATTGTGAAAACACTTAATTTGTACTGGATAGGGTCAGGCTTTTTTAGTAAGTATTAGGTGTTTGCTAATATTAGGACAAGGCCGAGTTCTGCCCTTCATCTCAGATCACTCCAGCAGTCTCGCTCCCTGCTTCATAGCCAGTCATCATTCTGAAAGGGAGCTCACATCACTTCAACTTTCAATGGATTATTTTTGTTCTTAAAACCAAGTCCAAAGTCCTTAACAGCACTTGCTTAGTAGGGGGTGTTGAGCTTCGCCTTTAAGATGCCCATGTACCACATCAGAGCACTTTGGTTAACATCCCAGTTCCTAATTCTAGTTTCCTGCTAATACAGCTCCTGGAAGCAGCAGGAGATGGCTCAAGTAGTTAGATGCCTGATACCCATGTGGGAGACCTGGATCTTATTCTGGAGCTGGTATGGTGGCATAGTGGGTAAAGCCACCCCCTGTAACACTGGCATCCCATATGGGCACCAATCTGTGTCCCAGCTGCTTCACTTTAAAAAAAAATGATTTATTTAAAATATAAATTCTGTGGCTGGTGCTATGGCGCAGTGGGTTAACGCCCTGGCCTGAAGCACTGGCGTTCCATATGGGTGCCGGTTCGAGACCTGGTTGCTCCACTTCCAATCCTGCTCTCTGCTATGGCCTGGGAAAGCAGTGGAGGATGGCCCAAGTCCTTGGGCCCCTGCACCTACATGGGAGACCTGGAGGAAGCTCCTGGCTCCTGGCTTTGGATCGGCACAGCTCTAGCCGTTGCAGCCAATTGGGGAGTGAACCATTGGATGGAAGACCTCTTTCTCTCTCTCTGCCTCTCCTCTCTCTGTGTAACTCTGACTTTCACATAAATAAATAAATCCTTTTAAAAAATTAAAAAATATAAATTTTGTAGGTATAGCTTTTTGGAATATAGCGGTTCTTTCCCCATACCTGCCCTCCCACCCTCACTCCTGTCCCACCTCCTACTCCCTCTCCCATCCCATTCTTCATTAAGATTCATTTTTAATTATCTTTATATACAGAAGATCAGCTTAGTATATACTAAGTAAAGATTTCAACAGTTTGCACCCACGCATACATTAATTCTCATAGTATAACACATTAAGAACAGAGATCCTACATGAGGAGAAAGTACACAGTGATTCCTGTTGTTGATTTAACAATTGACACTCTTATTTATGATGTCAGTGATCACCCAAAGTGCTTGTCATGAGCTGCCAAGGCTATGGAAGCTTTCTGAGTCCACAAACTCAGTCAGTATTTAGACAGCACCATAAGTAAAGTGGAAAGGTACCTCCTTCTTTTATGGTCCCTCCTTTCCACTGGGATCTCACTCAGAGAGATCTTTCATGTAGGCCATTTTTTTGCCACAATGTCTTGGCTTTCCATGCCTGAAATGCTTTCATGGGCTTTGTAGCCAGATCTGAATGCCTTAAAGCTGATTCTGAGGCCAGAGTACTGTTTACGGTGATTGTCATTTTATGTCTGCTGTATGGCCTGCTTCCCATGTTGGATCATGCTCTCCTTTTTAATTCTACCTATTGTCATTAGCAGACACTTGGTCTTATTTATGTGATCACTTTGACACTTATTCCTATCTTTATGATCAGTTATGCACCTAAAATGATCACTTTAGCTAGTACAATGGCATTAGTACCTGCTAACTTAATGAGATTTGGAGTTCCATAGCAAGTTTTTAGCTTTACCCTTAGGAGTAAGTCCAAGGGAACATGTGCCAAAGTGTACATCTCCTCCCTCTCTTATTCTCACTCTTATTTTTTTATTTTTTAAAATATTTATTTTATTTATTTGAAAGACAGAGTTACAGAGAGAGGTACAGACAGAGAGAGAGGTCTTCCATCCACCGGTTCACTTGTCAGATGGCCGCAACAGCTGGAGCTGTGCTGATCTGAAGCCAGGAGCCAGGAGCTTCTTTCAGGTTTCCTCCATCTTGTTGCAAATGACCGGATTTCATTTTTGTTTTTACCACTGTGTAGTATTCCATAGAGTACATATCCCATAATTTCTTTATCCAGTCTTCAGTTGATGGGCATTTAGGTTGATTACATGTCTTAGCTATTGTGAATTGATCCGTTCCCCTGCTAATGGCTGTGGAAAGCAGTGGAAAAATGGCCCAAGTGCTTGGGCCCCTGTAGCCATATGGATACCCGAATGAAGCTCCTGTCTTTGGCCTGACCTAGCCCTGATTTTCACATGCATATGTAGAGTGAAACAGTAGATGGGAGCTGTCTATTTCTGTTTATCAGATAAAAAACAATTCAGGGGGCTGGTGCTGTGGCATAGCTGGTAAGGCTCCTGCCTGCAGTGCCAGCATCCCACATGGGAGCCGGTTCAAGTTTCAGCTGCTCCACTTCCCATCCAGGTCCACACTATGGCCCAAGTCCTTGGGCTCTGCACCCAGAGGAGACCCAGAGGAAGCTCCTGGCTCCTGGTATCAGATCAGTGCAGCTCTGGCCATTGCAGCCAGTTGGGAAGTAAACCAGCAGATGGAAGATCTCTCTCTCTCTCTCTCTGCCTCTCTTTTTCTCTTTGTGTTAATTCTTTCAAATAAATAAATAAAGCTTTTTTAAAAAAATCCAATATCTGGGCCGGTGCCGTGGCTCACTTGGCTAATCCTCCACCTGCAGTGCTGGCACCCCAGGTTCTAGTCCCATTTGGGGGCGCCGGATTCTGTCCTGGTTGCTCCTCTTCCAGTCCAGCTCTCTGCTGTGGCCCGGGAAGGCAGTGGAGGATGGCCCAAGTGCTTGGGCCCCTGCACCCGCATGGGAGACCAGGAGGAAGCACCTGGCTCTGGCTTTGGATTGGCACAGTGCGCCGGCCGTAGCAGCCATTTGGGGGGTGAACCAATGGAAGGAAGACCTTTTTCTCTCTCTGTCTAACTCTGCCTGTCAAAAAAAAAATCCAATATATACTATATATGTAAGACATACCTAAGAAGATGTTACACTTATGATTCTAACTTCTAATTATAAAATGCTCACTTGTCAGGCTTTGAGCTTTACCTTGAGGAGGCAATCTCTGAGAAATTAAGTAGCCACCCATGAGGCAAAGGGAGAGAGGCATAGAGAACAGGGTGACCTAAGAACAATACACATAGATCAACAGGTTCCATTGTCCAGAGGGAAAACAGTGCATGTCTATGAGGAAACCAAAAGGTGTGAACCAGTGAATGGGAGGTATGTATCTCTCTCTCTTTCATCTCTCTCTTTCTCCTGTCTTCTCTCTCCCACCATCTCTCTGTACATTTCAAATACAAAATTGTAAACAAAATTAAAACATTCATATTTGCTAATGTCTACATTCAATAAAACTTCATAGAAACAATAAGGTTCTTTCTCTTACACTTGGAGACATCACTCTGTTCTCTTCTGGCTTGCCACGCTGCTGCCAGTCCTACAGCGCTTCCTTCAAAGCTAGTATTCCATGCCTAACTTCTCATCCCCTGGCCACTTTCAATACTTTGCCTTTGTCTTTGTTTTGCAGTTTCAGTATAATGAATCGATTTGTAAATTTATTTGTCATCTATTCTGCTGGGACTTTGCTGAGTGTGTTTTATCTTTGGATTAGTGTTATGAATCAGTTCTGGAAAAATAAATCTATGCCATTACATCTAGGAGAGTGCCTCTGCCCAGTCCTTCTCTCTGGTATTCCAATCAAACAAATGCTTCTACTGGTTTTCCCTTGAGGAAGGAGTCTAAATACCAGATCTTTGGGTAATTACTTTGTCTCCTTTCTGAATATCTGAAGCTTATAAAATAGTGGTTAAGTGGTTAAAATCCCTCTTAAGATTTAAAAGGATATAACTCTATAAATATCTAGAAAGCTAAGATATCCCAACCTTCAAAACAAATAGCCACTGTCCCCTCCCCCGCCCCAATTTCCCAATATGTATTGAGAGTGTTTTCTGTTTATTTGCCTGCAGGATTGCGTAGTTGCTGAAAGTTAAAAATGTTGCTTCTTTGTCTTTATGACTGTTAGCCAAAGTTCCACTAAAGGAAAGCACTTACTGGAAATCTAAAAGGAATTGACACAGGTGACTCCTTATCTTGGGTTACATCAGTTAAGTTGCTTCTAATACATTATTATTTCTCCTCCTCCTCCTCCTCCTCCTCCCCCCCTTCTCCTCCTCCCCTTCTCCTCCCTTCTGCTCTTCCTCTCTTCTATTCTCTTCCTTCTCTTCTTCCTCTTCTGCAGTGGTTGGAACAGTCAAAAGTCAGCAGATTTAAGTAGAAATTTGGTCACTCTACACACAAGGCAAACTAGAAGTCTTACCTCCAAAGAGGAATTGAATTCAGCGTTGGAGCAGTAAATTACTGCATTGTGTGAGCTCCTGACAGCATGGAGAGAAGAGAGCAAGCTGGGAGAACCAGGTAGGCCACTCTGTGTAAGCTGGCTCTTCCCCCACTCCAGGAACTCCGATACCCTGATTTTATAAGATGACCTTTTTAGATCGAAGGAGGCTTCTCATAGAAGACAAATTTGATGGCATTACTGCTAACACCAGGCACACTGTAAGTGGTACCAACTATTCACTCTGTGAGATGGCACGGACTTTGTGGAGTTCTACAAGACAAAGCCCAAGTACTTGTCCTGGCTGAAGCTCTAGGAAAGTGGAGGCAAGAGTTCATTTACACACCAAAGTGGAAGGGCTTCCAGTTCCCCATTCTCCAAGCCAAAGCTTCTCAGCTATGTTCTCCATCTCTCACCACTCAGTGGCTGCCTGTGTGGGACGCTGAGAACACAGGAAAGGGCAAAGCAGGGAGGTGGCGTTGAGGTTGTATAGGATTTGTACTTTAATTCCTGATCTGGCACAACCTAGCTGAGTGACACGGTACTGTTCATTGTCAGCTTCATCAACTGTCAAATTGTAGATAACATTTATCTTTCCTTAGTGTGTATCTAAAGCCATGCTATGCACTTTGGTCCTTCTAATCACCACCAGCCCTTGGCTCTACTCACTCTTGAGATCTTGGCTATGGGTTCACTGTGCAGTGTACATGTTCCATTGAGTGGGTTCTGGGGACTCCAAGACTGACACTGATTTAAATATTGCAAAAGAAGATGGTTTTACCTTGAAACTAATGATCAAAGATTCTGCACCTAATTTTGTATTCATAATTTTATATTTTTTTCCTTAAAGACCACCCTCACTGCTGCAAATTACACAGGTTTAAAGCACCGCAAAACCTGTGCCTCTTCTTGTCCAAACACATTTTTTGTTTATTAGAATGCATATAATTTAAATAAATTGAAGTAGGTCTCCTTGAATTTAAAAATGTGGAACTGTTTTAAAGAACTATTGCTTCACTCTTTAATAAGCTAAAAAATTAGATTCGGAAAACTCCCTCATTTGTTGGGTGGTTTTTACCCAACTTTGATAGACCCTGCTATACTCCTTGAAAAACTGACTCCGGCATTTCTCAAGAAGCTGGTAGGATTTCTACGAACTTCTCATTTAGTGCTGATCTATTATCACTGAAGACACAATTGCTTAGTCAGAACACAGCTTCAAGTACAAATGTTCTTCCAAAGGGAAAACAAAATCAAAACTAGTTCTTCTTGTTTTTAATCTCTAAACAAGCAATTTTTTAATGTAAGTGCTCAAATATACAGCAAGAATTTTTCTTCAACATTCTCTTCCTCACCTCTACTTTTTCATTCTTGTTTCATGCAAAGCCTCTCGTTTTATGAGTGTTCTCTCAATCATTTAGGTATGAGCAACAAAGACTTCTTGGGAGAACAGGTTAACCTGAAAAGATCGCACTCAGTGTTAGTTTTGGATGCCTTTAGGAACTAACTGACAAAACTGACATTTAAGTTAAAAGAAAAAAAGGCAAAACAGATTTAATCAGTTTACTGGTATTTACGACCTCATATTTGGGAAGATTATGTATCTTTGTAAATAATAAATGATCAATTTGGAAACTTTACAGAAAGGGTTTAAATTGTGGAGAAACAAAACATAGAAATATAGGATGAAATTTTAAGAGTTTTTTTTTTTCCTAATACTAATTGATTGGATACCTAGAGCTTAGAATAAAATGTCCAATGATATTATTTGCAAATTCAGACAGTGCTGTTTACCCAACACTAAGAAGGGTGTTAAGAATTCCATATGTTGGAAAGTCTACAGATTATTTGGAAAGTGGCTCTGATGGTACTGAAACACCAAGCCTGAAGCTGCCTGTGAACTCTTCGCATAAAACAATCCTCTGAATTGTGAAAAGGTTATTTGCAAATGAACGCTTAAAGTGATACACTTTAAATGTATATCTACAAAGAACTAATCATTCTATTGAGATTTCTTATTTCACCTGCATCCCTAAAAGTTTATATCTAGATATTCAAATTGTCAGATGCAGAGCATAAAAACTTTTGTTGCTTCCAACTGGAAAAATCAGATATCACTTTATATATGAACATATGTTCTTTATAATTAACAAGCATTCATGTTAAAACACATCAAATTCAGTTTGAAGAACTTAATTGATATATGTTTTGTTAAATATATTTCATTTTTCTCTCTAGGAATGAAAGAGTTTTGAACTGCATATACCAAAATCCTAATGCAATTTTTAAGCTGATTTGCTTTCCCTGGGCAGGAGGTGGCTCCACTTATTTTGCCAAATGGGGCCAAAAAATTCATGACTCACTGGAAGGTACGTTAATTTTCATCACCATCTAAGTAATTTATAAGGTCAGATGACTCAGGCCAGCATGTGGCACAATGGGTTAAGCTTTAGCCTGTTACTAACATCCCATATGGGAGCACTGGTTCAAGTTCCAGCTGCTCTACTTCTGATCCAGCTCCCTGCTAATGTGCCTGGGAAGGCAGTGGAAGATGCCAAGTGCTCTGAGCTCCTGCCACTGACATAGGATACATACTTGGATGGAGTTCTTGACTTCTGGCTTTAGCCTGACCCAGCCTGGCTGCTGTAGACATTTGGGAAGTGAGCCAGCAGATTTCTGCCTCTCCCTTTCTCTCTCTGTTGCTCTGCCTTCCAAATCAATCAATCAGTTTTTAAAGCAAATATGGTCAGATGACATAAACATACAGGAATCTGAAGCATGGTAAACATTTCCCTAATTTATAAGCATTCAAAATTTCACTCAAATAGGGTGATTTTTACATTTCTAAAGAAATTCTATTGCCTTTATTTTGTTATTGTTGTTAGAACTAAGAGGATTTTTAAAAAATAAGCATTTATTTATTTGAAAGACAGAGTTACAGAGAGGCAGAGGCAGAGGCAGAGAGAGAGAGAGAGAGAGAGAGAAGTCTTCTAACCACTGGTTCACTCCCATGTGGGTGCAGGGGCCAAAGCACTTGGGCCATCTTCTACTGCTTTCCTAGGGCATAGCAGAAAGCTGGATCGGAAGTGCAGTAGCCAGAACTTGAACTGGCGCTCATATGAATACTGGCACTGCAGGTGCAGCTTGACCCATTATGCCACAGCACCAGCCCAAGGATTTTTTAAAAGATTTATTTATTTATTTGTAAGGTAGACACAGAGAAGGAGAACGAGAGAGACAGAGATGTTCCATCTGCTGGTTCACTCCCCATATGGACTCAATGGCGAGGGCTTGGCCAGGCTGAAGTCAGGAGCTTCATCTGGGTCTCCAACATGGGTGCAGGGTCACAACACTGGTTGGGATGCTTGCATCCCATGTCCAGGTGCCCGGGTTCAAGGCTCAGCTCTGCTTTCAATTCCAGCTTCCTGCTGATGTGCACCTGGGATACAGCAAGGGATGGCTCAAGTAATTGGGTTCCTGTCCTCCGTGTGGGAGACCTGGATTGAATTCTCAGCTCCCAGCTTTGGCCTGGCCCAGGCTCAGCCATTATGGGCATGTGGAGAATGTATCAGTAGATGGGAATAGAAGTGCCCCCTCGCACTCAAACAAAACTTTATACTAAAGGGACTGGCACTGTAGTATAGCAGATCAGCTGCCACTTATGAAGCTGGCAACCCATACTGGAATGCCGGTGCAAGGCCCAGCTCCTACGCTTCCTATCCAACTTACTGCCAGTGCACCTGGGGGAGCAGCAGAAGTTGGTCCAAGTGCTTGGACTCCTTCTACCCATGTGGGAGACCCAGATGGAGGCCCTGGCTCTTGGCTTTGGTCCGGCCCAGCCCTGGCCACTGTGCCCATTTGGGGAGTGAACCAGCAGATGGAAGATTTCTCTTTCTTCTCTCTCTCTCCCCATCTCTTTGCCTTTCACATAAATAATCATTTTTTTCAAGAATGTATTGGAACTTTTCTCTGCAAGCTATTATTTGATCAGATTGCTCTTGATTCTGGAGAGGCTTATGTTATTTATGTATTCATCAGATGACCTATAATGTCTTCTGTTAGGCATCCTAGAAGGTTACCAACCCAGGAACACTTTGAGGTATTATTATTATTACTTTTTTTTTTTGACAGGCAGAGTGGACAGTGAGAGAGAGAGAGAGAGAGAGAAAGGTCTTCTTTTTGCTGTTGGTTCACCCTCCAATGGCCGCCGTGGCCAGCACACTGTGGCTGGTGCACCGTGCCAATCCGAAGCCAGAAGCCAGGTGCTTCTCCTGGTCTCCCATGGGGTGCAGGGCCCAAGCACTTGGGCCATCCTCCACTGTACACCCGGGCCACAGCAGAGAGCTGGCCTGGAAGAGGGGCAACCGGGACAGAATCCGGCGCCCTGACAGGGACTAGAACCCGGTGTGCCGGTGCCGCAGGTGGCGGATTAGCCTATTGAGCTGCGGCACCAGCCAGAGGTATTATGTTAAACTTCATTTTCCTCAGACCACAAGGTAAAATAAATAAACTTTAAATCTGCATGAATTCAACCCCTTGTTTGAAAATTAGAAGGGCAATTTTCTCCCCTCTCTCCCATCCAGAGCAAAAGCAAAACCAGAAAGCTCTTCTTTCTCCCCTTGTCATTAGAAGGATCTTTGTTTTTCCCTGGTCTTCTTTTTCACAGAGGGTTTAGAGCTTTGAGTCTCCTGACTACGTGGAGGATTCAGTTCTCTCAAATTTAATGAATCCCAGTGCCTGGTGTCTTCCTGATGTAGATGCTGGCTGTCAAGTTTACCACTTCACGAGCACACGTTCACCACCAGAGCGTCCATTTCCTTCTCCTTCCTACTGTTCCTATTACTTTGTGAGTCCTGTGAGCTACACCATGCTAATTATGTGTGTTTCACCCATCTTTTCCAGGGGCTTGGGGAGGGGCAAAAAGGGACTTTTCCAATGTGTAGTCCACAGTATTTCATGTTATTCCTCCTCTTATCCACAGATGTTATAACTTGACCTCCCTGGGTTTGACCACTCTTATTCACTTCTTTGACATTTTCACATCATGCCAGTATAAAGGCTTTTACCTCACAGCATCTCGCTCATTGTCTGTGTCTATCGTGTTGTCTCGCCTCCAGTGCACTCTGTAAGGCTTGCTGGAAGAGAGAGCAGATTTGAAGAACCTTTTGCAAGCGACATGTACCAGATAGTGGATGAAATCGTTTGTGCTCTGCTGCCAATCATCCAGGATAAGCCATTTGCATTTTTTGGCCACAGGTATTCAAAAGTCGGTTTGAAAAGACATCATGGGGAATTTCTTTTTTTCTTTCTTTTAAGATTTATTTATTTGAAAGTCAGAATTACAGAGTTAGAGAGAGAGAGTTAGAGAGAGAGAGAGAGAGAGAGAAAGAGAGAGAGAGAGAGAGAAAGAGAGAGAGAAATCTTCCATCTGCTGGTTCACTCCCCAGGCAGCCACAATGGTCAGGACTGGGCCAGACCAAAGTCTGGGTCTCCCATGTGAGTATAGGGGCCCAGGGACTTGGGCCATCTTCTGCTGCTTTCCCAGGCCACAGCAGAGAGCTAGATCAGAACAGAAGCAGCTGGGCCACAAACTGGCACCCATACGGGATGCTGGCCCTTAGACGGTGGCTTTATCTGCTACAGCACAGCATTGGCCCTCGGGAATTTCTTCAATCATAAGTCTGCAGAAATTTGTGGAAAATGCATACTATGCAAAAAATATGTCTGGATTTTAATATTTTTGCACCAGAATAAATTTATCTTTTAATTACATTTTCCATGGGCTTTTCCAAGCACACCTGTGACTGTTCCTTAAGCTAGGTTGTATAATTTTGAGGTCAGATCCTGGGGCTCTGACTGCCTCTTAGCAACTGGATAAATTCTATAGACTTCTGAAATTGTTTCCTCCCACTGTAAAGTGGGAATAATAATAGTTCCTACTTGTGAGGATTGAATGAGTAGTGATCACAAATAACTTTTTTGACTACTATATCATAGTTATAAATAGGGTTCCAATCAAAAATTCAAAAATAAAAAATACCCATCATTCTATCCTCCAAATAACAATGCTTTGACGTTTTGATGTGGTTTCTCAGTAGTTTTATATAATAGGACCCTTATTTTATATCTTTCTTCCCTTAGTATTGCTATGAGCATCTTTCACAGCCTGTAAGTATACACCACTTATCCTGTAAAACTGATGCCTTATTAGATTATTTGTTTTGGTTATAAATTCTTTTTATTTTTGTGCCTGTAAATAATAACTTATAGAAAATTTAATATAAATTTCTTATCAGTTTCTAAAAATTATATTTCTAGAATTTCAATTAAATGATATGTACATTGTTAAGCTCTTGATAAACATTTTCAAATTCCCTGCAGTTCACACTCCATCAGCAGTGAACATGGGGAATGAGTTTCCCTTTCTTTCAAAAGGTATAGAAATTCACATACAAATGAATACACTCATATTTATTCACAAGTGCATAACCTCTGGCAAAATACATCTATGGGGCAGGCATTCAGTGTGGCCGTTAACATGCTGCTTGGAACACCTGCCTCCCGCACTGGAGTGCCCACACTGGAGGCCCCGTTCTGCTCTGGACTGCAGCTTCCCGCTAGGCAGGAAGGGAGGCCGCAGCGAGGGCTCAGAGAGTCGGCTCTTGCTACTCCCAGGGGAGACCCCGACTCAGTTTCAGGCTTTGGTCCCAGTGGTTGTAGGCAGCTGAAGGCATCAGAGGATGGGAGAACTCTCTTTTTCACCCTCTTCTTCCTTTCCTGTTTTCCTCCCTCCCTCTTTCTATGTTGCTCTGCCTTTCAAAGAAATCTCTACATATATATTTATATAAGATACATTAATATATTATACAAACATAAATATATTAATATATTATATATAATATATTTATATAAATATATAAAATATAAATATATGAAATATACTTTTTGGTCCTTGTACCCCTTTATTCTTTTAGACTACTTTGGGGACCTCAAAGAGCTTTGGTTTAGATGTGACATATCTGTCATATTTACCATATTAGAAAGTACAACTAAGATATCTGAAAGATACCTATTAACTTCTCTGTCAACAACATTAACATACTCATGATATGTTTACATAAATATTTTTATGACTAAAATATTTCTGCCCCAAAGCGCAGTAAGAAGCGTGGCACTGCTTTACACTTTTGCAAATGTTTAGTGCCTGGCTTAAGAGAAGGCAGCTGGATTCTCACTTGAGTTTCTGCAAAATGTTGCAATCCCCATGTCATAGTCTCTAGAAAACGCTACTGTACTTTCATGAGAACAGAAAGGGTGCAGAAATTTCAGTGCTATCCTGAATATAGTTTTGACTTTGTGGGTCACCTGTTGGGCTGTCAGAAATTCCCAGGGGTCCCAAACCATACTTTGAAAATAGCTGGTATCTACTGGTCAAAGATTTATACTTCAAGGCAGAAGAGGAAATTTTAATTCGTCTTAAGACACAGTGAAAATTAGTACTAAATCTTGAACTGAACTATGCAGAATGTCTTTGAAATACTTTTCATGCTGACATACATTCTTGAAAGTATTCCTTTCATGGGGCCAGTGCTGTGGCACAGTGGGTTAAAGTCCCAGTCTGCAATGCTGGCATCCCATAGGGGTGCTGGTTCAAGTCCTGGCTGCTCCACTTCCGATCCAGCTCTCTGCTGTGGCTCAGGAAAGCAGTGGAGGATGGCCCAAGTGCTTGGGAGACCCAGAAGAGGCTCTGGCTTCAGATCAGCTCAGCTCAGCTCTGGCCATGCTGGCCATACCAGCAGATAGAAGACTTCTCTCTCCCTCTTTCTCTCTGGCTCTACCTCTCTCTGTAACTCTTTCAAATAAGTAAAATAAATCTTAAAAAAAAAAAAAAGAAAATATGCCTTTCACAAGTTGGTTAGAGTTATTACCTAACAGTTTTCTTTTGGCTATTACCCGACCACTACTGTGTTTATGCTGCATGTTCTACACTTGATGGATCTTTACGAGTTTTGCTGAACAGTTACCGTGTTTTTCTTTCCTGGATGTAGCATGGGATCCTATATTGCTTTCATGACGGCACTGTACCTAAAAGAAAATCACAAGCTAGAACCGATGCACTTCTTCGTGTCAAGTACAACTCCTCCTCATGTAAGCAATTTTGTTTTCTTGGAAGCGGGGCGGTGGCAAGACGAAAATGGTGGAGGGGATAAAAATCAAGCTGCTATTTTCCACTTGGCAGATCCTGGCCCACAGGGAATGATGACAGGAATACTACTTGCTATTGAAAATCCCTCAAGTCCCTTTCTGTCACGATCTCTCCTTTTCTCTGAAATGTACTTCAACTGTTCCTGGATCCTCGCCTGCACTGTTCTTGTACCTCTGGGCTGTCAGTGGCCATGGTGCTTTTCCTGTCCTTGCTGGTTGGCTGGGCACATAATCAACTTTCAGCAGAGTTGCTGGATCCGAACCAGGAAAGAATCTTTGAAACTGCAAGAGGTGACATCACCTTTTTAGAATGAGCATGGCTTTTCAAAATCCAGTGTGCTGTGTCCACTACTCCTCCTCCTACCTTCTGGATCTTCCCCACCTCATCTGGATAAAAATCTCGAATGGCCTGGAATTCTGAGTCTAGAATTCTGTATTACAGCACTGGAATGTCTGATCAACTTCCTCCTCCTTGCTTTGAAAAAGAAATGATTGGGGCCGGCGCTGTAGCATGCTAGGTAAAGCCACCACCTGCGATGCTGGCGCCCCTATATGGGTGACGGTTCCCATCACAGCTGCTCCACTTCCAATCCAGCTCTCTGCTAATGGCCTGAGAAAGCAGCGGAGGATGGCCCAAGTAGTTTGGCCCCTGCACCCATGTGGGAGACCTGGAAGAATGTCCAGTCTGGCCCAGCCCTGAACATTGTGGCCACTTGAGGAGTGAACCAGCAGATGGAAGCTCGCTTGCGTGTGTGCTCTCTCTCACTCTCGCGCGCGCTCTCTCTCTCTCTAGCTCTGTGTGTGTGTGTGTGTCTCCTCTGTAATTCTTGACATTAAGATAAAAAAATAACTAGCTAAATAAATTATTCTCCCCTGAAGCCTATAAAGGATTCCATTGCCTAACTTGATTTAGCAACTTCTCCTTTAGGCTGTTTGTAGTTTATGAGCAAGTATGGTATTGCAATAACATTCAATTGTGTGTGTTGTGTTGTTAATGTTTCAAGTCCAAAGACAGGTTTCAAGTTCCCAAAAGTAACGAGCTGTCAGAAGAGGAGCTGAGCCGGTATCTTGTGGACTTCGGCGGCACTCCCCAGGACTGCCTTGACGACAAGGAGTTTTTCCAGCAATACGCTCCCGTGCTGCTGGCGGATGCTGACATTATGCGTAATTACACGTAAGTAACCCAGATAGGTTTTACTGCACGATTATGTAAAGAAAATGTAGATTGGCAGTTTACTGAGGCTGCTTAGATGGGAGAAGAGATTCTAAACTTTGATTTCATTTCCTTTGGAGCCACCTGTCATATTTGTATTGGTTTAGAATGGAGCCTGGGCATAGGAATTTTATTTATATGGGTTGGTGCTGTGGTGCAGTGAGTTAAGCCACCACCTGCAGTGTCGGCATCCCATACGTGTGCCAGTTCAAGTCCTGGTTGCTCTTCTGATCCAGCTCCCTGCTAAAGGCCTGAAAGCAGTGAAAGCTGACCCAGTCTTTGGAGCCTTGCCACCTGTGGGAGACTCAGAAGAAGCTCCTGGCTCCTGGCTTTGGCCTGGCCCATCACTGCAGCCATTTGGGAAGTGAACCAGTGGAAGGAAGATCTCTGTCTCTCCCCCCTCTCTCTCTGTAGCTCTGCCTTTCAAATAAATAAATGTTTAAAGAAAAACAGGAAAAGAAATTGTGTTTATAAAAGATGGATAACATGTATTTGTCGCCACAAAAATGTGGTTAGACATGCATGTTTCATAACATAATATTTTCAAAAGTGTTACTTATTTGAAAGGCAGAGTGAGAGAGAGAGGAGAGAGAGACAGAGAGAGGAGAGAGAATGTAAGAAAGTAAGAATGATCGTTCATTTTCTGGTCATTCCCCAAAAGGCCATAGTGGTCAAAGCTGAGCCAGCCCAAAGCTAGAACTCCATCTGGTCTCCCAAGTGGGTAGCAGGGGCCCAAGCACTTGGGCCATCTTCTGCAGCTTTCCCAGGCACATTAGTAGGGGGCTGGATTGGAAGTGGAGCAGCCAGAACTTGAACTGGCTCTTGTCTGGGATGCTGGCATCACAGGCAGCGGCTTAACCCACTGAGCCACAATGCTGGCTGCATCACATATTTTTTGAATGAATTAGTACCAAAGCATTCTCATCTTCTTAGAGGCATCGTTGGGAGTGGATTGCTTGTAAGTGTGGATGTGAACCAGGGGAGATTTGCTTTCTTGTGAATTTTGTTTCCCCAAACCTAAATGGCTCCTCCTGGTCTGACTTACCCATGGCTGTTACTGTAGAGCCAGCCTTTAGCTGTCACGCATGTCTTCTGTTTTGCCAGGGCCTTGTTCCCTTGGAGTAAGTTCCTTGGAGGAAGAAGCCTAGATCTATACTTTTGTTTCCTCCACAAAGTCTGGAACTGGGCAGGGATCACACTGGGCAGTGCTTACAAAAGGGAGTTCACAAAGAGCTACCAAAAGTGGAGCAGACTAGCAACACCTTGAGAATGCAGGCAGTCCCATTCATTTTTCACACATCCTCTACTCACTGCTCACCTTCAATCTGTTGTAAAGTTCATGATTTACCTCCCAGATGTCCCAAGTCTTATCCATGTCTCTCCATTTCTACCCATAAGGCAAATCTGCCTTGTGTTTGCATCTTAGCACACAGTTAGGATCACAAAATACTAGTCAGACTTCCAAAAACAAAAACAAAACAAAAAGAAAAACATTGAAACCTGACATAAAAAATCTACCATAATCAGGGGTCGATGTTTGGTGAAGTATTAACACACCACTTGAGACACCTGCAGCCTAAATCAGGGTGCCTAAGTTCAAGTCCCAGCCCTGTTCCCCATTCCAGCTCCCTGCTGAAGTGCACCCTGGGAACCATCAGGTGATGGCTCAAGTAGATGGGTCCCAGCCACTCATCTAGGAGACCTGGATTGAGTTCCCAACTCCTGGCTTTGGCCTGGCCCAGCCCAGCTATTGTGGGCATTTGGAGAGTGAACCAGCACAGGGGAGCTTGCTTTCTTTTTCTCTCCCTCTCTCCCTCTGACTTTGAAATAAATAAATATTTTTTAAAGTCTTCATATTCAATATAGTATGTTACTGGTACAAAGCCAGACAGACTGACCAATGGAACAAAAGCCCAGAAATAAACTCATGCATTTACAATCAAGGATCCAGGAATACACATGAGCAAAGGACAGTCCATTCAATAAACGGTGTTGGGAAAATTGGACATCCACATACTAAAGAGTGATATCAGATCCCTTTCTCATACTGCACACAAAGATTAACTCAAAGTGGATTGAAGACTTAAATGTAAGACCTGAAATTGTAAAACTCCAAGAATAAAACACAGGGAAAAAGTATCACAACATTAGCCTGGGCAACACTTTGTTATGAGCAAAATGTACACACAACAAAAGCAGAAACACATAATTGAGATTATATCAAATGAAAGGCTTTTGCACAGCAAAGGAAATGGGAATAAAGAGTTATCTTATGGATTGGGAACAAAATTTGTAAACCACAGATCTTAAAAAGGTTAATACCCAAGGAACATAAGTAACTTAATAACAAATAACCAGATTTTAAAATGGGCAAAGGACCTAACATGAATAGACATTTCTTAAAAGAAGACATACAAATGGCTAACAGGTATATGAAAAAATGTTCAATATCATTTATCACTAGGGAGAAGCAAATTAAAACTACAATACCTCATAGCTATTAAAATGGTTATCAAAAGAAGACAAAAGATTACAAGTGTTGGCAAGAATGTGGAGAAAAGAGAACACTTCATACATTGTTGGTTAGAATGTAAATTACTTTAGCCACAATGGAAACCATGAAGGCTCTGCACAAAATGGAAATTAGAACTTCCCATGATCTAGAGGAACTCAAATCAGTATGTCAAGAGATACCTGCCCACCAGAATTCACTGCAGCACTATTCACTAAGGCCAAGATGCACAGTCAACTTGTGCATCCATCAGGAGGTAACCTATGTACCCATCAGCAAATGTGATATACACCCATACTGGAATAATAGCCTTTAAAAAGATACTGTCACTTGAGATAACACGGACCAACCAGGAGGACATTATGCTAAGTGAAACATCAGGCACAGAAAAACAAACACCACATGATTCCACATGTGGAATCCAAAAATGTTAAATCAGGGAGTAGCTGGGGCTTGGGGAGGCACAGAGGAGATGCTGGTCAAAGAGTACAAAGTTTCAGTTAGGAGGAAGTTTCTGAAATCCAACGCACAGCATGGTAACTACAGTTATTAATAAGATAATCAGTATTAACTTCTAAGAGGGGGTAAAGCCTGTGGTACAGTGGGTTAAGCTGCCACTTGGGGCACCTTTAACCCAAGTTAGAGTGCCAGTTTAGGTCCTGGCTTCTTTTTTTGACAGGCTGATAGATTGATAGATTATTTATTTATTTGAAAGGCAGGGTTACACACACACACACACACAGAGAGAGAGAGAGAGAAATAGAGAGGTCATTCATTCTCTGGTTCACTCCCCAAATGGCCATAATAGCCAGGGGCTGGCCTAGGCCAAAGTCTGGAGCCAGGAACTGCATTCAGGTCTCCCACACGGGTAGCAGGGGATCAAGTACTCGGGCCATCTTCCACTGCTTTCCCAGCCACATCAGCAAGGAGCTGGATCAGAAGTGGAGCATCAGGGACTACAACCAGCACTGTAGACAGCAGTGTAGCCCACTCTGCCACAACGCCTGCCCCTGGGTCCTAGGTCCCCTGCTTCTGATCCAGGTCCCTGCTAATACACCTGAGAAGCAGATGATGGCTCAAGTACTTTAACTCCCTACCACCCACGTGAGATACCAAGACGAGAGTTCTAGGTTCCTTGGCTTCAGCCTAGCCCAGCCCCGGCGTGGAAGGCATTTGGGGACTGAGCAGATGTGAGATTCCCCTCTCTCTCGGTTGCTCTGCCTGTCAAATCAATCAACCTTTATTTTAAAAAGAATTGTTTTAAAAACATCAGCCCTCACACAGTGGTCAACCACGCTGCTGTTAGTCTGCTTACCAGCTTGAAACCCTCTGCCTGTGTCTTACCAACCGCGACTCTGCGTCTTCAACAGCTGTGTCTAATCCATCACAGGCAGAGACAGTAACTACTCCTGGTGTCCTGCAGCGGAATGCACCAAGCGGTGCTTAGCAGAGGGTTTGGCACAGTCAGAAGCCATATTTAAAACCAAGACACAAGGAAACAAAACTATCACTGAGATTTGAAAAACTTTAAAAAAATTTATTTTAAAGAGAGGGAGGGGGAGGGGGAGGGGGAGGGCAGGGGAGGGGGACAGAGGAGAAAGGGGGAGAGGAAGAGAGAGAGGGAAAGGGAGAGGGAGGAAGGGCAGAAGGGAGGGAGAGGGAGAGGGAGAGAGGGAGGGAGAAGGAGGTAGGGTGGTAGGCAGGGAGAGGGAGGTAGGGTGGAAGGGAAGAGGAAGGGGGAGGGGGGGGCTGGCAGGAGTCCCGGTTTGGGGAGAGAGGGTTAGGGGATGGAGGGTGGGAGGGGGAGAGGGAGAGAATCTCTCTCCCTAAATGCTGCAAAATCCAGGAATGGGCTAGGCCCAAACCAGGATGGCAGGGACCCAGGCACTTGGGCCCTCATCTGCTACCTCTTGGTTCTGCTGGCAGGAAGCTGGATCAGAACCAGAGGCAGGACTTGATCCCAAGCGCTCTCATAAGGATGCGGGCCTCCCAAGTGGCGGCTTAACCCGCTGTGCCACAACAGCCGCTCCTACCACTGCCTTTCTTCACAAAGCATTGTGCATAAAAGAGTAGCGCCTGAAATGAATATTTTTTACACCTGAGTTTGAGCACGTTTCTCTTCCCTGGCCGTCACTGCATGGAGTTGAGTCGACCTAGACTGGAGTTAACTGGATTTGGTTTTTGTTGTCTGAATGGTCACCTCCAGTGCACCACCAGGCCCTCAAACCTGTGGTGTTGAGTGCTTGGCATGGGGACTGAGTTCTCAGTGTTCTTGCTCTGCCTCAGGCTTTGAGTCTTCCTACGATGGCCCTCTCTGGCAGAGACAGCTGTGTCTTGTTACTCGATGCGTAGTCACCTCTGGAGCAATACGGGGAGTTCTTGGCCATCCCAGATTGTCTTAAGCATCAGTCCTAGGCGAGCCCCCTTGTGGCTGAGCTGTGTGCACTGGACTTTCTCAGCATGCCTGCCTCTTCTCCTTGTTCCAAACAAATTTTGTCTTGTACCTGTGGTCGGCGTGGAAGATTCTGGCCCCTTCCCACAGTTAGACTTCTACGGAGCTTTGGTGTAGAATTGTTTGCTCTCCCCCCTAACCTCCCTGCAGCCCTGTCTCCACCTGTGCCCTAGGACTGGGAGAGTTTGAGGCCCCACTCAGCCGCACCTGCACCCGCCCATGCCCTTCACTCTTCTTAGAGGGGCCTGCCCCTCCTTGTCTTGCACACACAGCTCCCTGAGTTCAAGAAGTACGATGTTGTAATTTAAGGTTTGGGTGTTTATTTCTCCTCACTGTTAGGGTGGGGTGGCACTCTTTCTTTTCTACTGCTATGTCGAAGCAAATTCCTTGCCTGAAGTCCTGAAAAAGTCACTTAACTTGGTCCTCTCCTAGACCCTTGGTCCCCCCTTCAAGCCACACTGCAACCCCCATACATTACCAGAGAGCTAGGTGTCAACTTTGATGCTGATCCACTTTGCCTGGAATCCTGTTGGTGGGTTCCTCTTTCTTAGAATGAAATTCTTCACATGGCCCTTGCTTACCTCTTCTGCCCCAGTTTGCCCCAACACCCCCCTCCCCACCTTGATCTGTAGACAACGCCCGCCCCCATCCATTTATGCTCCTTCCTCCTGGTTTCTCTGCTGCTCCTGTCCCCTTTGTCCACTCTTTTCTTATTCATTCTGATCTCAGAGCCATCCCCTCCCCTCAGATTAAACTGCCTGCACGGCCTTCCCCACCCTTGACTTCTCGTCACATGCAACCAGATCACCCTGAACCCCGAGTTCTTCTGTCTCCCACTCATTGTCTATCTCGTTAATGGCAGTCTCAGTAGCAAGAGGTCAGGGAGTGGACTTTTCACACGTCCATAATGGCTGGCACGCACACTCAGTGTCCGGCTCAATCAAATTCTCTATTGCTGCTCTTATGAAACTTGCTCTGTGCACAGCAAGGCTGCGCTAGACCACGGAGAGCTGGAAGACACCAGAGAGGCCTTGTTTCCCGGGAATTACAGGTAAAGGTATAGGTAGTCAGCTATCCCACTCCTGGGAATATCTCTCTATAGGAGATGAAAACAGCATATGAAAGTTAACTGCACTCCCATATTTATAGCAGCTCAATTCACAATAGCTAAGATATGCAATCAGCCTAGATGCCCACCAACTGATGGCTGGATAAAGAAAATGTGGTATAAATACACAATGGAATATTACTCAGCTATAAAAAGAATGAAATCCTAAATGGGTGCAACTGGAGATTATCGGGCTTAGTGAAATTAGCTAGTCCCCAAATAAAACTATTTTCTCTTATTTGTGGTAGTTAATACACAAAGAGGATAAAAATTATGTGAATGTCAGTTCATTTGGCATACAATTATAAGTGTTGCTTGTTGCTTCATTGAATCATACCATGTAATAATATACTCTTGTTTCACACATTTAAAAAAAATGGACAGGAGAATAATGAGAACTTTGAGGGTGATGACAAAAAAGCTCATTGATCTGTAGACTTAAGAGCATTTCTTGATATGAACACTGTACTTTAATCTGTATTTTTTTAAAAATGATGTATCAGTTGTAAGCAGCCTCACCCAGAGTTGTACAAGTACCCCAGTGTTATCCTGCTTCCTCTCACAATCTTCTAGAAATTAGAAACTGGCAATGGTCTCAGGCAGGCCCTGAGAGGGAGAGGTGTCCCTGGTGAAAGCGAGGCTGGCATTGCTGAGACTGGCCGAGGGGAAAGAAGGGGCCACCCCATGGTCGTTTCAGTGAGGTCATCAAGAGGGAGAGAGTCTGGGATGCCGATTATGAAGAATTACTAACCAGCTCTTTTATGTTTACAGCTTTGACGCACCCTCCAAGGCTGTCATTTCTTGTGACTTAACATGTTTCCTGGGCTCTGATGATATTGCAAAGGATATGCAAGGTGAAATTATTTTCATTGTTCTCACTATTGTATCAGAATATGTATTTCACATATGATTTTCAGCTAACATCAACTGGCAGTTATCACAATAAGTAGAAAATTGGTCCAGGTTATATTTCATGTAAATGGAGAGATGCCAGTCCCATGCAACATGAGAGAACACAGGTGATACTGCTGTAGACTGATGGGCCTCAGAAAAATTAAAAACACGGGCCACACAGAACCTGAGACCTTGGAAGGAACTCTACCACTGAGTGTCAGCTCTCAGAGAAACAATATCTGGAAGTAAATCGTTAGCTGTCGTTGGTAAATGTCATTTATTATTGATTCCATTTTTAGCCTGGAAAGACATAACCAGTGGAAGTCTTGACGTTCATGTGCTTCCTGGAGACCACTTTTATCTTAAGGAACCTGCCAATGAGAATTTCATCAAGAACTACATAGCCAAGTGTCTGGAACTATCGTCGCTTACTAATTGTTAGATCTCTTCCTTGTAGTCTTAAAATAGTCCAGGTGTCCGCACGCTACGCTTCTCAGTTACTCAGATGTATGCTTAATCGTTTTCTTCAGAGATCGGAAATTACACACTTGCTACTCAGGGTGATTTGTTAAACATAAATCTATTTCCTCATGAAGCATGTGTGTACCTGGGGACAAAAGTCAGAGAGACAACAAACACTTCTGACGAAGCCCTTTGTCTTCATGTTAGAATCTCACTTGATTCTCTTCTGGGGGAAGTGTGCAAAATCCTGCTTGGTAAATTAGCCATTTATTTGCTTCAATTATTTAATGGTGAAAGTGATTAACAAGGGAAATGTTTGAAATTATTGTTCGACCAAAACACTGTGGGCTCAAAGTTTGATCTAATCTTTAGAAATATAGGGGAGCCCATTTAATAAGAAAATTTAAACTACCACTTTGTGAAAAGAAGATGGCCCTAAATCAGTTGTTGTCATGTGTACCAGCAAGTCCTCAGCATGCCTACAACCCTGGCCCTCCTTCTACACCAACTGCCTGTTGGCCGTGTGGTGCCCTGCTACCCTGGCAAAGACTGGCTGGGGCCCACAGTGAGCCCTCCCAGTGACAGCAAGCCCACAGTCTGGCCCGTGGTGTAGGGGGTGACCAAGCACAAATGCCATTCCAGCCAGGCTGCCTTGGCGTCACTCTGTGACAACTGAAACCTGGCATAGGGAGAAGGCAGAAGCTGGAAACAAACAGGAACCAAGAGAAAAAGGAAAGCTTTAGAAGAGTCAGAGTAACAGTAGCACACTACAAATGGGATCCACAGATTGCTACTGAAGGGGGCGAACAGTCACGGCACCTCTGGAGCCACACAGCCCCTGACCTCTGTCACCTTCCAAACCACATCAGCCTCTTCAAGGCCTGACCATGCAATCAGATCCCCCTGATTTGCCTGTTTCCTTCAGCTCTTCACAATAAAGTCTACTACTTACTGCAACCAACGCCTCTTCCTTACATAGAATTGCATATTAAAGTGCTACATAGGAAATGTGAAAGCATCAGTGTGTTTATGAACATACAATATGGCTTCATATTTTTGTTATTGTTTTAAGTAATGTGCATACAGTCTTAGTAAGATTAAGAAAAGTACACACAGGAAACATTCCTCCTAATAGGTCATTCCTTTTTAACAAAATGAATATAATATAAAATTGTTGGGGAAGAACATGAGTTGGAATCCACAAATTCAGTTTAGAAATAGCTTCAAGCAAATTGTACTCAATGTTTAGTGTATGTTGTACTTTACCCTCCCGTTCCAAACTCTCAGGGCTCTCTTACTGAAGAATTGGTACAAAAGCAATGTGGATTTATGATTATTAATATGGATCATTTTTATTCAATATGGTCTATAAGTGGGAATCTCACAATGTGTCCCGTGCCAGGCTCTGGCCAAGCTTTCCAGTCTCTCCACAGGGGAGGCGAGGTCCACACACACCAGCTCTGAGAGTTTCCAAGCCGGCATGTGCTGGTCAACTTCAGGTGTCAACTTGACTCCTAAAATACCAAGGCATACTTACGAACCTAGAAAAGTGCTATTTTGGGTGTGTCTGTGAGAGTGTTTCCAAACAAGATTAGCACATGAGTCTCAGGGACCTAGGAGGGAAGAGCCCGCCTCAGTGTGGGCAGGCACCATCAACTGATGGAGGGTCTGGAGACAACCAATACAGAAATCAAACTGGCGTCTCCTGCTCTGTGAGCTGGGACGCACTTGCCTCTTGCCTTGGGCATCAGTGGCTGGCCTTTGGACTCCAGGTCTTAGGCCAGCAGCCCCCGTGCTGGTGCCTGGACATTTTGCCTTGAACTGAGACTTACACCCTGGGCCTCCCTGGTTCTGAGGCCCTTAGACTCGGTCACACTAGCAGCATCCCAGGGTCTCCAGCCTGCTACAACTTGTCATGGGACTTCTCAGCTACCATAATCACAGGAGACAATTCTAATAATTCCCTCTTCGTGTATCCATACACATATCCTGTGGCTTCTGTCTCTAAAGAACTCTAAAACGCCTCTATTGCAAAAGCCCAGGTGTAGCTGATAGCTTCTCCTTGGAGGATGTGGGCCTTCACTTCATTGTGGAAGACATCTGAGCATCTTCAGGCAAATCTTAGTGGCCATAAGAGGCAGCTTGACTTTTCAAAATGTTCCAGTTGATGAATCAACCTTGATTATTAAAATAAACTTTGTTTGAGATGACTTTAGATTCCTACAGCTATAAAAAAAAATACGGACATCCCACAGAGCCATTTACCCAATTTGTACAATTTGTAACAACACTGTAAAAACTAAAATGTAACATCCCAATCAGGAAGCTGCCATGGCTACAGTGAATATACAGAACAACCCAACATCCCAGTACCTCTCCTGCTGCCCTTTGACAGCCACACCCACCTTCTTCCTCTCTGGCAGCCATTATGCTGTACTTAATGATTGTAGTTTTACCATTTTAAATATATTAACTGAATATGAAAAATCAAAAAGTCCATGGAAATTGTGTATTATGAGACTGTATTTTACAAAAAAAAATGACAATACTATGCATGGATTTCAAACTTTTTTATACCAAAGTAAATTTGCTTTTTAATTCCATTTTTTATTAACTTTTTGAGGCCCCTATAGAATAATTCAACACACTGGGGCAGGTGTTTGATGCAGTGGTTGAGACACAGCTTGGGACACACACTGGGGTCAAGTCCGGTCTTTGCTTCTGATTCCAGCTTCCTGCCAAGGAGCACCCTGGGAGGCTCAAGTAAGTGATCAGGTTTCTGCCTCTCTAATGGGAGCCCTGAGATGTGTTCTTGGATCCTGACTGCAGCCCTGGCCTAGTCCCAGCTGTCGTGGGCATTTGGGGAGTGGACCAGAGGATGGGAGCTCTCTCTCTCTCTCTCTCTCTCTCTCAAAAAAAATTACTTTTTAAAAATAACATGAAGTTGGCTGGTGCCATGGCTCAATAGGCTAATCTTCCGCCTGCGGTGCTGGCACACCAGGTTCTAGTCCCGGTCGGGGCGCCGGATTCTGTCCCAGTTGCCCCTCTTCCTGTCCAGCTCTCTGCTGTGGCCTGGGAGTGCAGTGGAGAATGGCCCAAGTCCTTGGGCCCTGCACCCGCATGGGAGACCAGGAGAAAGCATCTGGCTCCTGGCTTTGGATCAGCTCCTGGCTTCGGATCAGCATGGTGCACCAGCCGCAGCGCACTGGCCGCAGCAGCCATTGGGGGGTGAACCAACAGATAAGGAAGACCTTTCTCTCTGTCTCTCACTGTCCACTCTGCTTGTCAAAACAAAACAAAACAAAACAAAAAACCATTAAGTTAATCTATTTCTCTGATCATACCACACTCAACTTGAACTCTTACAAAGAGAATACAGATACACCCTTTTCACAGGCATTTTTCTATGGTATCTCAAATAAGTTTTCAGATTCAAATGTAACTATCCTCTTTCAAAGAACTTGTGTACTGGTCAGAAACTGAACAATGGGCCAATATTCCAGACTCTTATATTTTCCTTCTGATGATATTGAACATAAGTACACAGTAGTGCTTCATTTATCACTAGATACATTTTCAAGTGTTTTTTTCTTAAATTTAAAAATGTAAAGAAAAATAGTCCACTTTTTCATGGCAGCTTTTTCTTTCTTTGAAGAATGATGGAGAGACTATAAAAAAAGTATTTAATTGCAGTGATTCAGAGAGAAAGAGAGAGATAGAAAATGTCTTCCATCTGCTGGTTCACTCTCCAAGTGGATGCAAAAGCAGAAGCTGGGCCAAGCAAAAGCCAGGAGCTTCTTCCAGGTCTCCCATGTGGGTGCAGGGGCCCAAGGACTGCCGTTGCTTTCCCAGGCACATTAGCTGGTTTGGAAGTGGAATAGCTGGGACTTGAACCAGCACCCATATGGGATGCCAGTGCCACAGGTGGAAGCTTAACCTTCTATGCCACAGTGCTGGCCCCAATGGATAGACACTTGAGTTTCTTTTTTAAAATATTTTTTCAGCTTACTTGTTATGTTGTATATAGCATTTTCTGTAATATGAGGGCTGGATGATTATAGTTAGCTCACTCAAATCTTACAACAGTGATATCACTGTGAGAGTGATATCATTTTTTTTTCCTACACAGATGAAGCTTAGCAGGGTTAACTAACTTGTCCCAGGTCATCTCATAAGTCACAGAAGACCTGGACCAGGCGATTCTGCCACTCCACAGTCCCCACGTCTAGGTGAGCCCAAAGCCACACAGTGTAACAATGAATCATCCTGCTACTGATTCTTAACAAGCTGCATTTATTACACCAGTGACACCAACTCACTGTAGCAGAGATAAACCACAAGAACAAACAATGGTTAAAGTTTCTGTGCACGTTCCATCAGAGTAATAATTTTTAAAAATAACTCAAGTCTCACCTGGTTTAATCAAGTAAGATTTAATCAGCTATGCAGTTATAATATATTCCTAGTTAAATATTATAAATCATGCTAATAGTGAAAGTAAACATTTTCCACACTCAATGTTAGGTTATGGTACCTTTGCCATGAAGGCTCCAGGAGGAAAAATTTCTCATCTGCTGCATTCTAAGAATTCTAAACCCCGTATTTTTCAATCAGCTCATTAGCTTTAGAAATGTAGGCACTCATGGCATCGTCCTTCGACAATCCTAGAAAGACACAAGCAGGTTATCTCAGGGACTGCTGCACGGGGAGGTTGAGAAGCCTTGTTTTGGACTTGTTAAAGAATTAAACACCTTTTTGGAGGCTCCATGCTTCCCACTTGGCCTTGCCTTTTAAGTCTAACATTGCTGGACAGGCTGCCAAAAGAAGGAGAGATACTTTCAGGTTTACTGTGCACTGCGTGTTTCTATAAACACTGTTCAAAGCAAGTTCACACTTAGTCTTCTTCTACAGCCACGCAATACCAATATTCACGTCGCCAATGATGGCTTGCTTATACAGCCCATAGAGGGCTTTCAGTTCTTCATCGCTGGGTCTCGCCTTCAGCTTCCTCACCTCTTTGGTGGCCTTGTCAAAATCAGCCTAAAGGGGGAAAAAATGGAAAGAAAAGACACACAGTGCATTTGCTAATGTTAGGCAGGCCCATCTTCATTTGAAGACATTTACCACCAGGGAGTGGGAACCCAGAGAGGAGGAGAAGGTTTCAATTAGAAGTGAGCTATTATGCAGTGCTGTGGCACAGTGGGTTAGGCTGCACTTGGGACAACCACATCCCATATGTGGGCACTGATCCACTCCCCTGCTAATGCATCTTGGAAGGCGGCAGAGGATGGGTCAAGTGTCTGGGCCCCTGCCACCTACATGGGAAACCCAGATGGAGTTCCAGGCTCCGAGTACCTGGCCCAGCCCTGGCTATAGTTGGCATACGGAGGGTGAACCAGAAGATGAAAGATTTCTCTCCCTCTTTGTTGCTCTGCCTTTAGAGTAGGTGAAAACAGACAAACATTTTAAAAAATTATTTCTGCTCTGCTTCCACCAAAATTATCCTAATTTCCTGAACTCATGGACACCTCTCCTAGTATGATATTCAGATAACATATGCAGAACTAAATCAAATTCTTAATACTATCTATGGCTTTTAAAGGGCATTAACTCAGTGACACTTTCTTTATGTGACACTATTTTCTCAAGCCCACATCTCACTGCATGCAGGCACTGGGTTAGCAGTTCACGCCATCGGGCAGGACATTCTTCCCCCAGCGCCCACGTGCCCCTGTTCTTCAACAGTATCACTGACACCTGTGCGTGGACCAGCTCGGTGCCAAGGACAATCAATATTCCTGATTCAGGGGCTGGCACTGCAGCACAGTGGGTTCATCCTCTGGCACTGGCATCCCCTGTGAACACTGGTTTGAGTGGTAGCTGCTCCACAACCGATCCAGCTCCCTGCTAATGTGCCTGGAAAACAGGGGAAGGCAGCTCAAGTGTCTGGGCCGCTGCCATCCATGTGTGGGACTCATATGAAGCTCCCAGCTTCTGCCCGGCCCAGCCCCAGCCCCAGCTCCAGCTGTTGCAGCCATTTGGGGAGTGAACTAGCGAATGGAAGCTACCTCTCTCTTCTCTGTAACGCTGCCTCTCAAATAAGTAAATAATTTTTTAAAAGATTTATTTATTTATTTGAACGGCAGAGTTATAGAGGAAGAGGCAGAGAGAAGGAGAGGTCTTCCATCTGTTGGTTCACTCCCCAGATGGCTGCAACAGCCAGAGCTGAGCCGAGCTGAAGCCAGGATCCAGGAGCTTCTTCCAGGTCTCCCATGTGAGTAAAGGGGCCAAGCACCTGGGCCATCTCCCTGCTTTCCCAGGCACATTAGCAGGAGCTGGATCTGAAGAGGAGCAGCTGCCACAGCACCAGCCCCAATAAATAATCTTTAAAAATATTCCTGATTTAGTCAAATTGCTCATATAAATTCCTTTCAACCAAAATCCATAAGATTTATTTCAACTGGTTTACAGAATAGAGAAGTTGCGTAGCCAACTTAGCAAAGGTTCGCTCTAAGTATGCTTGAGGAGTAAGTTCTCTCCTGAGCTAACTCTGACAACCCCAGCCTGCGTATCTCCCCAGGAACCTTGGGCTGACCCAGGCCCACAGCCCAGGAAGCAGCCAGCAGCCACCCCTTACTGTATTCCAGGGAACAGCACTCCCAGGGGCCTTATCCTTTCCCCTCTTTTAACCTCCAGGTTTGTACTGTGCAAAGGGCCTCAGTGGTTATTCTTATGAACAGACTTCTTAAATCCTTTTTCTTTAAATAAACTATATTTTACCTCATGTCATTTGTTTTAAGCTGGAAGTAAGCAGGAACTGTCAGAGGCCTGCATATCTAACAAGGAGGCAGTCTAACCCTGCCCTTCACAGTTCTTTCTCCAATGTCAGAGCTCCATTTTGGTCCACAGGCCCAGGAGGGAAAGCGGATAGCCCCACAGTAACCTCAGAACTCTGTGATCACAACAGTTTCTGGGTTAAGTTTCCTTCCAACCCCGAAGACAGGACAAAAGCACAACTAGAACAGTTGTTTGTGACAGACAGAAATCATCTGCAAATTGGCGACCAGGGTCTCTCTAACTTATGTAACCTTGAAAATGGCCCAGCCTCCTGATCAGTTCCTACAGGGGACCAAGAAGGAAGCGTGCACCCTTACAGATACTCTTAATTATTACATTCACAGCCAGAGGATTAACTGTATTTTATATTCTACTTAAAGCAACACTGTGACAAAGGGCACCTCATCCTGCTAGGAAACCATCAGCTGTTTTACACATAATGTTAGAGTGTGGTTAGGGTTGGGGTTAGTGTTAGGAGCCAGACGGCCTTAGTTTGGATCACAGCATAACCACGCAAGAGCTGCAGGATCTCACGAGCTGCAGAACCTCTGCATGTCTGTCCTTCATCTGGAGTGTCACACCATAGGAGCACCACTCACAAGGGGGCCAGAAGGATTTAAATAAGTTAGTACACGCAAAGTCCTTAGAATAGTGTGGTCGACGACGGTTAGCTATTTTCTGTTCTATTTAAGGTTCCTTGGTGAGAAAACCTAACTCTAGAAGAAACTGATATAAATATTCACAGTGAAGCAAGACTTTAAAAATGCTGAGATTATGGTTTAACCAAAACCACAAAATTGTTTTATAAACTCAGCCCTGTAAACTGTGTAGAAAAAACAAAGACTAGAAAGAAACACACTAACATATTCAAACAGTAACTGCCTTTGATACTGGTAAGTTTCCTGGCTTTTAAATACATTCTGTACAGATTGTCTATAATGTGCCTGTACTGTGTTTATAATGAGAAAATAGAAAGGCTGCATGAGGGACCAGGGCCGCTCAAGGCAAGGCTGTTCGGAAAGAGGCGCTGGGTCTTCCTCCTCAGGCTCGTCACCCATCAGGTGTTCTGTTTGCTGTAGACTCTCCTGCCACGGTCCAAGGATGTCCACTCCATTCCCTGCTGGGAGCCAAGCCTTGAGCAGAATTCTAAGCTGTCTTAAAAACTGTGAGAGGGCCTCGCCTTCTAGGAAGAAGTTTCTGGAAAATTAAAGAGCTAAGGAAAGTCCTGGACCCTCTCGACAGAAGAGATAAGCCCTGACAAAGTTTCCCAGGCTGCCCCTCCCCTGACAGGCACCCCACTGTGGAGCAGGGCCCGGCTTCCTCCTCGCGGGCACCTCCCCGGCACCGTGAATCGGGACCTTCCCGCTGTACCGGGCTGTTCCACCGCATCCCGGGTTGTGAGGCCTTTGTGAGGCACGCTGCCCGGGAACCCCCGCGAGAAGCGAACTCCTCTGAAGTGCAGCTTCACAAAGACACCGAGCATCCGGGCAGGAAGGTGTTAGGACTCAACGCGATTCCAACGCGATTCCCAGGGCACACGTTCTTGACTTGGCTGTGAGCACTCGGCTCCCAGAGCTCAGCACTGAACAGCAACACGCGGTGCCCGGCCTCGATGCGTGCGCAGGACAGTCCGCCCGCAGCAGCTCCAAGTCCCAGGGGCAAGCGAGCCCTGAGACGTGCAGCAGAGAGGGCGCTGCGGCTCTGGGAACAGGGCGGGAAGGGTGCGAGTCCTTTCCGGAGGCGATGAGCAGGTGCTCTGCTCAGCCTGGGAGGGTCCTCGTTCACCTCGTTCCCTGGGTGGGCGGGGGCAGGGGAAGCTGCTCCAGGCAGGGCCAACAGTATTTGCCAGGGTTCAGCATAAAGGCTGCACGGAGATCCACGGAGAACAAAGTACGAAGTGAAAAAGGGAACTCTCATATCTTCGATGTAAGTTTTGATTATTTTGGGAAAAGTTCAATACGGATTACATTAAGTCATTCACAAGAGAAAAATATCTATGTATTCAACGAGCAGCTGATGTTTCCTCGACTCTTAACACAAGCCCGGCACTGTTTTATATACACTATGGATGCGGCGTATTTGACAGCGTTCGTGTTCACACACCAGTGTGGGAGAAGGAAGGGGAGGTGGTGGAGGTAAAGTCACTGTTTCACAGGCTGGGAGGGGGCGAGGTTTACAGACTTGAGCCCAGCTGACTGCAGTGTCCACCTTTAACCCACATAACTTTCTGCATGAAGAAATGGTTAGCACATTTAGTTGTGTTCATTCTATCAAGTCTTATGCATTTAAAAACTATATTTTTGGAGAATATTTAATGGTGAGAAAATGCTAAATACTAAGTAGAAGACCAAAACTATAGAAAGCAACAGAATAGGCGTGCATACTTCAAATGCACACATATGTGCAGTTGCATTCAGGCACATGAAAAATGACATGCAAGGAAGTCATCCATTCCATCAGCAGCGGTTGTGGTCGAGCTCCTCGGGGACTGCACCTACTCTGACGCTCACGCGGTTTAATCGGTCCCTGGGGTCCAGGAAGTTGCCATGGGCAGTCCCTGCTCCTAGTAAACAGGTGGCAAAGTGCTGCCCTCGGGGAGGGGTGGGGATGCCCTCAGGACCACCGGGAACGCTCCGGGAAGGCGCGGAGGGTGGGCGGCAGCTGCAAGGGGTCGCCACGCCTGCCCCGCCCCCTGCTCGGGCGCCTCCCTCTCGGAGCACCCCTCACCCGCTGGGTTACCTGCAGAGACATCCTGGCGAAGACCAATGCACACCTGCTCTCTGCCTGCTGCTGAGCTTCTGCCTCGCGGGCCGCTGCTTCTTAAAGGCAGAGCTCCTCCCTCGGCCCTCCCATTGGCCGCGCTCCCGGTCCAGCCGACTCCCATTGGCCGGAGGCGCTGGTGGGCGGGGCTAGGGGAGAGCGCTTCGCTGACTGGCGGGGGCTCCCCGGCCGCCACCGCGGTTCTCAGCAGCTCGAGTCCCCGTCAGTGGAAAGGCTAAAGGAAGGGAGTTTAAAGTATTTCTTCTCCGCTCCTGGATTGCATTTCTGGTCTTTCTCAGGAGGCTGTTTGCAGGACGTGGAGCTCACTTGGGATTCCGCCTCTGTACCCGTGTGCAACGCTGACGACGAGGATTCGCATAGGAGTCACCTCCCCAGAGTCTGCGAACGCTGGGTGAGAGGGGGTTTGCGGTTTGTCTCCTTTTTCCTCTTTGTGACGCAAAACTACCCTAACTTGCTTTTCTTTATAGGCAAGGCCCAGCACTGGGAGCACTGGACCTGACCTGACCAGGATTGCTCTTGATCCTACCTTGAAAACAGACAACAGGAGGGGCCGGCACTGTGGTGCAGCGGGTTAAAACCCCTGCCTGAAGTACGGGCATCCCATATGGATGCCAGTTCGAGTCCCGGCTGCTCCACTTCCCATCCAGTCTTCTGCTGTGGCTGTGGCCTAGAAAGGCAGTGTAGCGTGGCCCGAGTCCTTGGGCCCCTGCATTCATGTGGGAGACCCGGAAGAAGCTCCTGGCTCCTGACTTCAGATTGGCACAGCTTTGGCCATTGCAGCCAGTTGGGGAGTGAACCAGCAGATGGAAGACCTCTCTTTCTGGCTCTACCACTCTCTGTAACTCTGTCTTTCAAATAAATAAATAAATCTTAAAAAAAAAAAAGAAAAAAAAATAGACAATAAGGGAAAAAGGAAAATTATCCTTACTGTGATAGTAATCTCAGGGAGAACTTACGGATGTCTCCAACTCAGGTAGTAGCAGTGGCAGTAGTGAGGGGTACTTCAAATTCTGGATGTATTTTGAAGGTGGAGTCAACAGAATCTGCTGACAAATTTCACATGGGCTGTGAAAGAAAGAAAGGAGTGACGCATAATCCCACGTCTCCTGGCCTGATGAGAAGAGCCACAGATGGAGTAGGTTTGGTGGGGTGCAAAGACCAGTTCAGCTTGGCCCGGTTACCTCTGAGACATCCGTGAAGTCACATAGACAGCTGAATATCCATGTTCAGTCTGGGCTGCATATATGATTTAGAAGTTACCAACCTAGGAACAGTATTTGGAATTCTAGACTTGATGACCCTAGAACATGAGTGTATATAAAAGAGAAAAAAGAACTGAAGATTGAACCCTGGGGGACTCCAAAATTAGGGAGCTGGGGAGAAGAGGAAGAAATTGCAGAGAATGTGGCATGCTGGAAATCAAGTCAAAAAAGCTTATCTCACGGGAAAGTATTTCAAGCAACATAACGACTAAGGATTAACAGTTGGCGCTAGCTCACTGATGAGCTGAAGAGAAGTTTAACTGGTGGCGGGGAGCAAAGCCTGATTACAGTGGGCTTAAGAAAGAATGCCAGGAGCAGCTGCTCCTAATAATATAACAGAGTAGTCTCGTGGGCCTTCTATTTGCTTATCCCTCCACCTGTGGCACACACATTATCCTACTTATTAAATGCTTCCCATTTTGTTCAGGAAGGATTCTGGCACTGTGTTCTTTCAGATACACTTTAGCACCCATGGATCAAGTCCCACAAAATAATAACTTTTACTTTTTCTTGGACTTGCACTGAAAGTCTCTGTCAGTTGGATGAGGATCAGGGCTGAGCTTGATGATGCAGATTTACTATGCATGACCCTTACATGAGTTTCTCAATAGTTGTCATGTTTTCTGATAAAGTTTCTACTCTTCCCCACTGAAGGTACTGCACAACTTCTGTAGATTTACTTCTGTTACTTTGTGATTTTCATCATGTAGATGGAGTTTGTTTTTTGAATTTCATTGTGTATCTGTTACTGCAGTAGAGAAAGGGAATTGACCTTTGTATATTATATCCAGTGGCTCCAATGAGTCTCTTTATTCTTTTTTGGGCAATTTTTATTATTTTTTGGTCTATAGCTAGCAGTCTATAATGACAATTTCATTTCTTCCTCTCCAATCCTCACAACTTTCTTTTCCTTGTATAATCTAGTATAACAAACAGTAGTAATAGTAATATTAGCAGGGGCTGGTGTTGTGGCCCAGCGGGTTAAAACCCCAGTCTACAGTGCTGGTATCCCATATGGGTGCTGGTTTGAGTCCCAGCTGCTCCACTTCTGATCCAGCTCCCTGCTAATGTAACTGGGAAAGCACCGGAGGATGGCCCAAGTCCTTGGGCCCCAGCACCCACGTGGGAGACCTGGAAGAACTCCCTGGCTCTGATCGACTCAGCTCCAGCTGTTGGAATGGAGTGAACCAAGTGATGGAAGACCTCTACCTCTCTCTGTAACTCCATCTTTCAAATATATAAAATAAATCTTTAAAAAATATAGTAATATGAGCACTCTTATACCTTAAATGTAATACTTTCAGTTTTTCACTATTAAATGTGATGTTTACTGCAGTGGTGAGATTTTGGTGTATGTTACTATGTTAAAGAAATTAATTTCTCTTGTAATTTCATAGGAATTGTTAATATGAATGGATGCTGAATCTGATCAAAAGCTTTTCTTTAAAAAAAAAAAAAAAGAATGTCTCAGTGATGCTGTAACATTTCTCCCTTGATTTTTTCAACAGGATGGTTTACAAGAATTTTCTTTTTTTTTAAGCCTGCATTCAGCTTTCCCATAGAATTTTCATTACCATTTACTGTTTTTTTTTTTTTTAAGATTTATTTATTTGAATGTCAGAGTTACACAGAGAGAGAGGAAGAGGCAGAGAAAGAAGTTTTCCATACGCTGGTTCACTCCCCAACTGGCCTCAACAGCTGGAGCTGTGCCAATCCAAAGCCAGGAGCCAGGAGCTTCTTTCGGGTATCCCACACAGGTGCAGGGCCCAAGCATTTGGGCCATCTTCCACTGCTTTGCCAGGCCATAGCAGAGAGCTGGATCGAAAGCGGAGCAGCCAGGATTTGAACCAGTGTCCATGAGATGCCAGCACAGCAGATGGAGGCTTTAACCCGCTGTGCCACAGCATTGGCCCCCTTTTTTCTTTCTTTCCTCTCTCCCTCTTCTTCCTTCCTCCCTCCCTTCCTTCTTTTGCATCCGTGTTTAGAAGCCATCATCTGCTGCCTCCTAGGACATGCAGTAGCAGGAAGTGGGAATCAGGAACAATGCAGACACTCCAGTAGGAGATACAGGCATCCCAGCTCGCATCTTAACCAGTGAGCCAAATGCCTGCCCTCAGAATTTTCCCCACCAAAATAGACTTCTTTTAATTTCATTGCTTCCAAACTTTTTACATACCTTTATAATGACTCCTATTAAAGCATACATATTGTGAAACAAATTAGAAGGGAGTGCAGAAAGGAAATATGTTTGGAGATTCCGGGCCATGGAAACAATTCTACTTTTTTGTTGTCATGCTTGTGTGATACAAATGGGACAGAAACTAATTTTGAAATGTTCATTTTCACAAAGTTATTGTGGAAACTGTATCGCTAGTCTTAAAAATGCACTGAAATAAAGAAGCTACATATAATTTTTATTCACTTAATTCTGCCAGGTTGTCACTGTATTCATTACAAAACTATTTATCAGGACTGCCAAGACTATATGCCAGGCACTGTGCTAAGCATCTTACATAGATCAGCTCCTCTAATCCTCAAAACAGGTACTATTTTTATCACTTCACAGAGGAGGTTAATTAGGTAGCCTAGGGTTATAGGTAGTCAGTGATGAAATTAGGATTTCAACCAGGTAGCCTGGCTCCAGAGACATGTAACCACTGATAATCCCTACCCAGCTAATAAATACTAAGATGATGCTCAAATGATAAATCTGGAACCTTAAGGGGGACAAAGAATTAGACAGATTTTCTTCCCATAATTCTAGTATTTCAATGAGCTCTGTGTGTCTCTGTTTTTAGGATCCCATGTTTAATTCACCATAATGAACTACTATAATCCATTTTCTGAAACAAAAGCCTGTTGTTGTACTCAATCTCATGGTAACCTTATTCATTTTTTTTTTAAATATTTACTTGAAAGGCAGAGTGAAGAAGAGATACAGACAAAGAGATCTTCCATCTGTTGGTTCATTCCATAGATAGCTACCATGAGCTGGGCCAGGCCAGAGCCAGGAACACTGAACTCCATCTGGGTCTCTCACATAGGCGGAAGGGGCCCAGGTATTTGGGCCATCTTCTGCTGCTTTTCCAGACACATTAGCAGGGAGCTGGATTGGAAGCAGAGCAGCTGGGACTGGAACCAGCTATCTGATACAGGATGCTAGCAACACAGAAGGTAGCTTAACCCACCACACCACAATGCTGCCCCAACTCTGCCCTTTCTCAACTTTCTACATGTGTTAAAAATCAGATTATACTTTAACCTTGTGTAACTTGCAATTTTTGACCAAAAGCAATGCCACTTTTTGTAGTGTTTAATTTATGGCCAGTTAGGTACTATGTAGGCTATCAAAATTTATATAAACCAGATTCCAAAATGGGAAACAAGCAGAGCATAGATTGAAAAAAAGGAGGAAAATATGTACGAGGATACTTCAAAAAGTTCATGGCAATGGAATTAAAAGTCCAGGGTGGGCATTTGGCCTAGCGGTTCAGACACCAGCTGGTTCCTCTGCAACCTGATTCCCGCTCCCCGGCGATGCATACCCTGGGAGGCAGCACGTGATGCTCAAGTGATGGTGCCCTGCCTCCCGTGTGGGAGACCTAGACTGGGCTCCAGCTCCTGACTTCGGACCAGCCTTGTTCTGGCCACTATGGGCATCTGGGGTGTGAACCAGGACTGCAGTCTTGTCTATCTGTCTTGCAAATAAATTTTTTTAAAAAAGATTGTATTTTGGTGCAAAAAAAATCTATGAAATCTATGCGGTTTCTTCATGATACTCATTTTCATGGCTGTTCTGAAGACCCTCGTGTGCATGGATTTAAAAAGAAATTTTGCACCATAAGAAACTCATCTTTTAATTTCATTCTCCAAGGACTTTTTGAAGCACCCCCAGTATGAAAGTGTCAGGTTAAAGCGGAAGAGGAAAAGGGGCGGGGGTGAGCAGCTCATTAACAACCTACTGAGGTGTGTAGTGCACAGCCAAGTGTAGAGCCCTGACCTTAACACTCTCCCTCCGCTGTTTTCACCGACTGCCCGCGACACCCGAGTCCGCTCCTAACTGCCCTCTGCGTTGGCTGCAGTAACCACCGCAGAGGATGCCGTGTTCCGGGATGCGAAAAGCCCTACTCTTCCTCTCTACATTATTCCCAGGATTACATTACTGCCTGGGAAGTGTCTCACCCACCCATCCATCCCCCTACCCGTTTCTCTTCTTTCCAGGGCGGTGGGTCGTGCGCAGGGATCCGACGGAGAGTGAGGGACTGGGGCAGCAAGGGCTGGGCTTTTGCGTCCCGAAGGAGGGAAAAGAGCGAGCTAAGACTTACAAGGCTCTGAAAGACGGAAACCGAGCTAGAAATAGGAGGGTGCAGACAGGAGCAAAGACGCCCTGAGGGAACCAGCCTCCGGGGAGTTTCACCGGTTGACTGTCTCCCAACCCGCAGGCTTGGAAAACGCGGCGGCAACTCACCATGGCAACCCCAAGATCTCGCGAGAAGCAAGCTGCGCCGCGCACACGCCGGAGCCTCCGCTCCCGGTTCAAAGCTGAGGCCTCGCTCTGTGGCTTCCCCGCAGCCCGACATTGGGTGGGTGAAGATCCTTAAGGCGGAGTAAACCAACGCGGAGCGCACTCAGCACCTCCGCCCAGCCCCAACAGCGAGAGGAAGGCGCTGCCGGCAGGCGAGGCTGTGCGCAGGCGCGGCGCAGGCGCACGTGCAGCCGCCGCCGTGGTCCGCTGGGAGACGCGAGCTGTAAGTGGAGCTGGGGTGCGGGAGAAGCCAGGCTGGGGAGGAAGGACCCCGGCCCGGGTGGAATCGAGCCTGGGTCTCCGGCTGGGTCCGGAGGCCGAGGTCGCGGCCCCGGCCACGCACGGTAGCCAGGGCTTCCTGGGGGGCCTGTCGCGCAGCCGCGGGGCTTCCGGCTACCTCCCGGGACCAGCGCGCGCTTCTACTTGGGCTCCTCTAGCTGCCTGGGTTACTGCACCTGGTGGGCGCGGGAACTACAAAGATAAAACCCCACCCTGGCCCTTCTGCGTTCCACCGCTCCGCGTGCACTGAGGGGCTGAAGGAAGGCGTGGTATTCCAGGCAGTATAGACAGGGAGGGGAGAAACTAACGGCTTAGTGAGTATGCGTGTGGTTTGGTGTTGAGTGTAAAATGTGCTGGGGGGAGCCTAGGGAGAAAGGCAGGTGAGACATGGGGTCAGAGCGTGGAGGGCCTTCCGTGGCACCGTCAGTTTGCAGTTGGGGATCGAGCGGGCATTTAGCCTACCAGTTGAGATGCCTGTGCCCCACACTGGAGTGCCTGGGTTCAAAACCCAGCTGCAGACCCCAGCTTCCTGTTGATGCAAACACTGGGATCCCTGAAATGGTAATGGCTCAAGTCATTGGGGATCCTGCCACCCACCTGGGAAAACCGGATGGTATTCCTGGCTCCAGCCCCAAATGCCGCCCCGTCCCGCCCCAGCCCTGGCCATCTGGAGATAGAACCAGGAGATAAGAACCCTCTTTGTCTGGGTCGTTTGCCTTGACTCTATTGGAAGTAGAGGCGCGGAGACATAGTGCGGAAGGCACCTCAGCGAGGTCTGTTTTCCCAAGCTGTTCTTACAGTATTTTGTTTCTGGATTGTACTGCATGACCTTCTGCTTATCCAAGCCACCTACGCCTTTTTATCTCCCCCGCCAGGTTCTGCATTCAGAAGTTAACGCCTCTTGTTACCCCTCTGGAGCACAGAGCTGTAAGTCTCTACCCCTGCTGTTCAGATGCTGAACATCTTAAGGGACTTGTGTTTTGGCAAGAGCCCTGTGCAGTCGCATTTGTCTTGCTCCTCACTTATTTCCCCTTCCTGACCAGCTTTAACCTGATGCCAGCAGTTAGTGATGCTTAAGTGGATTTGGAAGAATCACTTTCCTTCCCAGTTCCCTGAGCTTGTCGGGATGCTGGGGAGGGCAGTGTGGTGGGCCCGAAGGAAGCCGCGTAGGCAGCAATGCCCAGCGTGGGCACCACTGACACTACTGGGGTTTGATCTCTGACCCCAGGGAGTGGAATTTAAGTTTTCTGTGGGAAGGTGACTGGGAGGAGCGTCACAGCTGAGGAGAGGCGAGGGCCATTTCTCAGAGCTGCCCGGTGTGGAAGGGTGGCCTCTCCCACACCTGCAGTTGCTAGTTCTGGTTCTCTGTCAGGTTCACCTGGGCAGTTTTCACTAACACAGATGCCCTGGCCCTATTCTCAGAGATTCTAGGTGAAGACCAACTATCTGGATAAATATTTTTAAAGCCACAGGTTATTTCTGAGGTGCAGCTAGGACTGAATAAGCAGAAAACTCAGATTTGGAAAACTGCTTGTGACTTGGTGTAGTGAGTCTGTTTCCTCACTCCCACCTTGGGGAGTTCTGCAGGAATGTTTTGAGAATCAAGGAGCACACACAGCAGGGGCCTTGTATGTTCTGACATGTTGCACACACACTCTCGGAGAGCACGTAGCTTCCTTTAGCTTTGCCATGAGGGTGCCCATGGTTCTCAACTGAATGCCAGATAGAAGGCGAGGAAAGGCAGGCCTAGGCAGTCGCCCTGAGGATAGGGAGGGTATGCCCTAGACCAGTGGATCCCAGCAGTAAGGATCCCTCTTCTTGCTTTTCCTTACTGGAACAATGTCTTTAAGTCTCACCACCACGTTTCCTCAGTTTTTGTAAAGTTGCCAGGGAGGGAAGTCAGCTTGGAATAACCGTATGGGGAGGGGCAGGGGAGATAGAAGTATACCTCTGCCTGTGCAGCCAGTGTTTCAGGACGGATATACAAGAAACTGGGTGCAAGGAGGAAGGCAGAGTCATGGAAGGGAGCACACCACTCAGGTCTTGACAGAATCACAGTTGGTTAATTATGAATGGCAGAGGTCTCCTGGGCCCCATGAATCCCAGGGCCTAGAACTCCAGCCACACACTGCAGGTGCTCAGTGAACAGGAGTCCCAACTAGAGAGCACTTTAGAAAATGGAAACAAATCTATAAGATTAATGCCATACAGTCCCCAAAAAGAGAATTAAGAACATTCTGAATGAATAAACAAGTGGAATTTCACCAATTACAACCATGCAGAACATTCACATTCTGCCTGTGAGTAAAGACAAAGTCATGAGACAAATGGGGAAAGTTAATCTTGAAAGAGGTTAAATGTGTGGTCACCTAATTGGTCTACATACACAGGCTTGCTATAGCTTACCAAGAATCCATACGACCAAGGTACTCTGAAGGTGTGCATTTCTAGCTAACATGACTTTTCCATTGTCATTTTGCATCTCTGAAGGATTTTCCACGATGGCTGCGGCCCCTCAAGCCCCAGCACGGGGATCTGTCCGGAAGACGAGGCCTCTGGTTGTAAAGACGTCCTTGAACAACCCATATGCTATCTGCTGGAGTGAGCTGGACAGGGACCACATGCACTTCATCCTCCAGACCCTGGAAGACAGGTTTAGATCAATTGGACTTCAGAAGATTGAGGATAAGAAGAAAAAGAAAAAAACTTGTGTCAAAAAGCAAAGCCGAGAAAAATGCAACCTCGATGCTGATATTGGCGAGGATCTGGACGAGAGAGAGGCAGACGCTAAGCAGCCAGCCTCGGGGTGGTCGCCTGTGCACATCAGGAAGCAGCTGGCCATCGGCGTCAACGAGGTCACCAGAGCCCTGGAGAGGAGCGAGCTGCTGCTGGTGCTGGTGTGTAAGTCGGCCAAGCCTGCCATCATCACCTCTCACCTGATCCAGCTGAGTGTGAGCAGAGCCGTGCCTGCCTGCCAGCTTCCCCGGCTCAGTGAGAGAATCGCCCCGGTCATTGGCTTGAAATGTGTCCTAGCCTTGGGGTTTAAAAAGAACTCCATGGACTTCACGGATGAAGTCAGTGCCATCATCCCCAGAGTACCCGATTTAAATGTACCCTGGCTTCCAGACACAACTGAAGGTTCCAGGGAGGCTTTGGAAAAGCCAGGCGGAGAGATTTTGGAAACTTCATTTGAAGACCTCTCAAAACCCAAGAGGAAACTTGCAGAAGGTCAGCCAGCCTCTGCTGTAGCGTTACAGCCCCTTAAAATAAAGAAACTGATTGCAAACCCTAATAAGAAAAGGAAACCACCCAAAAGTAAAAAGACAACTTCAAAGTAATCATGTGTAAGCTTGTCATCTCATACAATTTTTCAAAGGACATTTTGTAAAGATGCCTTGGAACAATAAAAATAAGTTTATGTATGTTCTTAAGATCCTATTTGAGGGCAGGCATGGCGGTGGTGGGAACTGGACCCAGCCCAGGAGCAGGTGCCGGGCCCGGCCCGGGAGTGGCTGTAAATGCAGCAGCTGCAGAAGACAGAGAGACAAAGCCGGTGGCACCAGTAGCAGCTGCTCCAGCTGGAGAGGGGACATCTGCTGCTCCTGTGGCAGAGCCCAGCTCTGGAGAAGCTGAGAGTGGGGATGCCAGCTTGGTGGATGTAAGCGGCGGTTTAGAGACGGAATCCGCGAATGGGAAGGATACACTACATGGCGCTGGGGACACGTCGGAGGTGATGGACGTGCAGACGGGCTCGGTGGATGAGAACTGCCGGCAGCTGGGGGAAGTGGAGCTGCAGTGTGGCATCTGTATGAAATGGTTCACGGCGGAGACCTTCGGCATCGACACTTCATCCTGCCTGCCTTTCATGACTAACTACAGTTTTCATTGCAATGTTTGCCATCACAGTGGGAATACCTATTTCCTCTGGAAGCAAGCAAACTTGAAGGAAATGTGCCTTAGTGCTTTGGCCAACCTTACATGGCAGTCCTGAACACAGGATGAGCACCCAAAAACCATGTTCTCCAAAGATGAGGATATTATACCATTTATTGATAAATACTGGGAGTGCTTGACAACCAGACAAGAGACCTGGGAAAATGACTTGGCCAAATAACATTGTTAAAACCATGAGTAAAGAGAGAGAGGATGTGTTTTTGGTAAAGGAGCACCCTGATCCAGGGAGCAAAGACCCTGAAGATTACCCCAAATTTGGACTTCTGGATCAGGATCTTAGTAACATCGGTCCTGCTTACGACAACCAGAAACAAAGCAGTGCTGTGTCTACCAGTGGGAATCTAAATGGGGGCATTGCAGCAGGGAGCAGTGGAAAAGGAAGAGGAGACAAGCGCAAACAGCAGGATGGAGGGACCACGGGGACCACCAAGAAGGCCCGCAGTGACCCTTTATTTTCTGCTCAGCGCCTTCCCCCTCATGGCTACCCCTTGGAGCATCCATTTAATAAAGATGGCTATCGGTATATTTTAGCTGAGCCTGACCCCCACGCCCCTGACCCTGAGAAGCTCGAACTTGACTGTTGGGCAGGAAAACCTATCCCTGGAGACCTCTACAGAGTCTGCTTGTACGAGCGAGTTTTGTTAGCCCTACATGATAGAGCTCCCCAGCTGAAGATCTCCAATGACCGGCTGACTGTGGTTGGAGAGAAGGGCTACTCCATGGTGCGGGCCTGTCACGGGGTGTGGAAAGGTGCCTGTTACTTTGAGATCACTGTGGATGAGATGCCACCCGACACTGCTGCCAGACTGGGTTGGTCTCAGCCCTTAGGCAACCTCCAAGCTCCCTTGGGCTATGATAAATTCAGCTGTTCTTGGTGGAGCAAAAAGGGAACCAAGTTCCATCAGTCCATTGGCAAACACTACTCTTCTGGCTACGGACAGGGAGATGTCCTGGGATTCTACATCAACCTTCCTGAAGACAGGGAGACAGCCAAGTCATTGCCTGACACATACAAAGACAAGGCTTTGATCAAGTTCAAGAGTTTTCTGTATTTTGAGGAGAAAGACTTCGTGGGTAAAGCAGAGAAGTGCCTAAAGCAGACTCCCCATAGTGAGATAATATTTTATAAAAATGCTGCCAATCAAGGTGTGGCTTACAAAGATATTTTTGAGGGGATTTACTTCCCAGCCATCTCACTGTATAAGAGCTGCACGGTCTCCATTAACTTTGGGCCGTGCTTCAAGTATCCTCCCAAAGACCTCTCTTGCCGCCCCTTGAGTGACATGGGCTGGGGTGCTGTGGTAGAGCACACCCCAGCCGATGTCTTGCATCCCATGGAGACAGAAGTGGACAGCAGGCGGAGTCCTCCGTGGGAACCCTGACCGGCCCCTCTGTTTTCGGACATGGACTTTCTGGGGGAGAAGACTGGGGCTTTGGTTTTTGCTTTTTACCTGTGCCCAGTGTTCCCGCAAGCTGCCGCAGAGCACGGCCTCACCCTTCAGCAAGGCGGAAGGCTGGGTGGGCCTGCGGGACACCCCCTGCCCTCATGCATCCCGTCCCCTGCTTCCAGTGACTGCTCTTCCTCCGTGTGCCGTAAACTGACAGCCGCTGACCCCAGGATCCCGTATGCTCCCTGTGGAACTGGTGCTGTGCCACATCCCCTGCCTGCAGGGACTCGTTCCCTCACTGGATTTTTCAAGGCGTGCATAATCTCGTCCAAGTAGCTAAGTTATCTGAAGACGCGTCTTCCGTGGGCATTGACTCCACTCCACCCCACCTGACTTCTCGGGGGGAGGGCCTGCTTCCAAGGACAGCTGAAATCAATGGTTGTACCTTCCAGAGCAGTCTAAAGACTGTCACCTCTCTGCGTGAGTTTGGTTTTGCTATTAATTGTGAACACTGGGACCTCTGAAACGACTAGGTCTCCAGAGCTGTAATTGTGACAGGGACTTGCTTCCACTTTAACAGAAACCCTTCCCCAGTAAACTTGTTCTTGAGTTAAAAAAAAAAAATTGATAAGATTCCTACTTTTTGTAACCATATGGCATGGATATATCAAAGTTTAAAAACACTCAGTGCAGGCCGGCGCCGCGGCTCACTAGGCTAATCCTCCGCCTAGCGGCGCCGGCACACCGGGTTCTAGTCCCGGTCGGGGCGCCGGATTCTGTCCCGGTTGCCCCTCTTCCAGGCCAGCCCTCTGCTGTGGCCAGGGAGTGCAGTGGAGGATGGCCCAGGTGCTTGGGCCCTGCACCCCATGGGAGACCAGGAAAAGCACCTGGCTCCTGGCTCCTGCCATCGGATCAGCGCGGTGCGCCGGCCGCAGCGCGCCAGCCACGGCGGCCATTGGAGGGTGAACCAACGGCAAAGGAAGACCTTTCTCTCTGTCTCTCTCTCTCACTGTCCACTCTGCCTGTCAAAAAAATAAAAAAAAAATAAAAAAAAATGAAAAAAAAAAAAAAAACACTCAGTGCAGACAGTATTTTAAAATATGAAAATCAAAACAAACTTATTGGGAATAATGTCCATGCTTTTATAACTGCACCTTTTAAAGGCTGGTCATAATGCTTATATGCAAGAACATCTGTAGTCCTGCAGTACTTATATTTTTCCATCCAACTTGGAAAATGTGCCAAGGAAACATGCTCCCAGGTAGTAGGGTAGGTGAAAGTGGATTGGAGAAGCACTATCAGTTTTAAAGGAAGAACAGTAAACACAAAGCAATGCATTGTTTCAGAAGCAATATATCCTTTTTTGCTTCATGTCAATTTGACTTCCTTGTAGGCTCTTGTGCTCTCTGTTGCCTATATCATATGTTGAAACATTTATTCTAAGCTGATGGTATTAAGAAGTAGAGACTTTGAAAGGTGATCAGGTTTGAGGATCCTGCCCTCATCAATAGGATTATTGCCCCTATAAAAGAGGCTCAACAGAGCTTGCTTCCCCTTTCCACCATAAGACAACATAGCTAGATGGCGGCATCTGCAGGGAACAGGACCTCACCATATACAGGTTTGTCAGGTATAAAGATGTGAGCCATCAGTAAACACTGGAAAATTAATGTAATCAACCATATCAATGTATGTGGGAAAAGAACATGATGAAAACCAACACCCATTCATGATAAAAACACTTGGCAATCTAAGAACAGAAAGCAACCTCTTCTACTTGATACAAAATACTTTTTTTTTTTTTTTTTTTTGACAGGCAGAGTGGACAGTGAGAGAGAGAGACAGAGAGAAAGGTCTTCCTTTTGCCGTTGGTTCACCCTCCAATGGCCGCCGCTGCAGCCGGCGCACCGCGCTGATCCGATGGCAGGAGCCAGGAGCCAGGTGCTTTTCCTGGTCTCCCATGGGGTGCAGGGCCCAAGCACCTGGGCCATCCTCCACTGCACTCCCTGACCACAGCAGAGAGCTGGCCTGGAAGAGGGGCAACCGGGACAGAATCCGGCGCCCCAACCGGGACTAGAACCCGGTGTGCCGGCGCCGCAAGGTGGAGGATTAGCCTATTGAGCCACGGCGCCGGCAACAAAATACTTTACAAAGAACGTATAGCTAACATCATTCCTACTGGTGAAAAATTAAAAAGTTTCCACTAAAATCAAGAACAAGTCAGAATATCTGTTATCACTGCTATTGGTCAGAATCATTGGGGGAAGGTATTATGGCACAGTGGGTTGAGCAGCTGCTTGGGCTGCTCACATCCCATATCAGAGTGCCTGCCTCAAGCCCCAGTACTCTGCTTCCAATCCAGCCTCTTGCTAATGTGTGTGGGAAGGCAGTAGGTGATGGCCCAAGTGCTTGGGCCCCTACCACTCACGTTGGAGACTCAAGTAGATTTCCTGGTTCCTATCTTTACCCTGGCCTAGTCCTGATTATTGTTGGCAAATGTGGGGAAGATCCCTCTTTTTTTCCTCCCTTTCCCTCTCTGTCGATCTATTTTTCAAATAAATTAAGGTCTTGTTTTCTAAAAAAAAAAAAAAAAGTGAAACAAAAGTTAATTTACCCTGTCAAAAAATTAATTTTTTCTAAAAAAACCTGAAACAAAAGTTTTACCCTGTCAAAAATTTAATTTTAAAATGTACAATATACAAATGATAGAGCTGGTATGGGATTTTCCTTATTCGCTTTGATTCATTCAGTTGTCTTTTAGAAAAACAAATGTCTCGGCTACTTCAAAGCCTGTTTAAACAATTATTAAAATGATCACATGGTCCTCAAAGCACATTAAGTCATTTTCTCCTTCCCCTGGCATGTTTTTGATCTTTAATTTTGGAAGTTTAAGAAAAGTCAGGTGTCAAAGCATCTTAAGCTTTGCCAATGTCAACTACTTTCCCAAGTCTCTATCCTTAGAGATCAGATACCTCAGCCTGATCACAGGCAAGAATTATGAAACTATTATGTTCATTAAATTGCTAAATGAGGCACTTCAGGGCTCACATAATAAAACTTCTAGAACTAAGTCCTAGAAGCTCAGGTAAGAGGAATGTTCCCACAGAAGTTTTTTTTTAAAAATATTTATTCATTTATTTATTTGAAAGTCAAGAGTTAGAGAGAAAGGCAGAGAGAGAGAGAAGTCTTCTATCTGTTGGTTCACTCCCCAGTTGATCACAATGGCCAGAGCTGTGCTGATCCAAAGCCAGGAGCCAGGAGCTTCTTTTGGGTCTCCCATGTGGGTGCAGGGGCCCAAGGACTTGGGCCATCCTCTACTGCTTTCCCAGGCCATAGCAGAGAGCTGGATCGGAAGTGGAGCAGCCAGGACTCGAACTGGCGCCCATATGGAATGCCGGCACTGCAGGCGGTGGCTTTACCCGCTACGCCACAGCACCAGCCCCCCCATGAAAGTTTTTTCAAGCTATTCCTTCATGTATTAATATTCTCTTCCTCCTACCCGTTGTGTATACCAGGAACACTCCTGCATTGGGACTTTGCATTCTTCTCAGTCTGAAATGTTCTCCCATTCTCATGGTTATATTTACATGGTTTATTCCCTCACCTCTTTCAAGTGTTTGTTCAATGTTTACACCATTATGTGGCCTACTCACCCCAGTTTTAAAAACAAATCTATTTCCAGCTTTCTCACTCCTCTTATTTTGATTTTTCTTTGTTCAATAGTCTTTGACAATATTACCTGGCCTACTTATGGCATTGACTGCCTACTGTCAATGGGAGACCTGTATGTTTTGTTCATTTATATATCCTAAACTCCTAGAACATGACTAGGCAAGTACTAGGTGCTCAATAAACATGCGCTAAAAAAAAGGAAGGATGGGAAAAGGGAGGATTTAAAAATTCAGGGGGTGAGTAGCATTTGGCTTCGAGGTTAAAATGTCAGGTTGGGACTCCAGTGCCCCACATCAAAGTGCTTCAGTTTCATACGTGCCTCTAGCTCCTAACTCCAACTTCTTGCTAACGAACACCTCAGGAAGTAGCAGATGGCTCAAGTAGTTAGGTTCCTGCCACCCACATGGGAGACCTGGATTCTTTCCTGGCTCCTGATTTCAGACTGGCCCAGTTCCAGCCATAGAGGGCATTTGGGGAGTGAACCAGCAGATGGGTACTTGTTCTTTCTATCTCTCAAATAAATAAAATTAAAATTATTTTTTAAAATTTAAAGGCTATAAAGGATCATGGAGATCTTCTAGTATAAAACTTCCTTGGGAACTAGAAAGCATAAAAGGCTTGAGAATGTCACTTGCTAATCAACGATGGGAATTAAAAGTAGAATCTCAGTATTTTATTGTATAATTTTTACCATGATAAATTCATCATTTCATCACAAAAAGAGATGTTATCTACTTAAAAAATCAGGTTATTTGGATATTGCTAGTAATTTACTTTTTTATACTACATGTTCTTTGTTGATGCTAAAATGTCACCACAACTTTCTTTCTGGGTTTAACTGCCACTGAGTTACAAATAAGCCATTGTGTGTTACAGATTCCACTGTAGGAAAGTAGGGAAATAGATGATTTTCAAAAAGAAAGCTTAGAGAAATCATAAGTAGAAAGGAGTGACAATCTAAAAGCTCTGTGTTAAAGGTTGAAGAAACAGTCACTTTTTCCTTTTTGGTATTTCTCATTTGAGATGGAAGACCTCAAAGTGCTTCTGTACACAGAACAAATGTCCAAACTACAAAGAGCGATGCCAAGTTGGTAGGTGATTACTTGTGGTTTAGAGAGGCCTTTTTAGTAATCTTTATCATATTTAAAAAGCATTAAACTTTCCAACAGCATTTAACCTACCTAATAATCATGGACTGGCATTCAGATTCTGATGCTGGCCCTCTGGTACTGGTTGGGTATCATAGGCCAAATTACTTTGTTTTGTTAAACTTTCGATTGTTTCCTCTATTTATTTAAAGAAATATTAATACTTATCTGACA